ATTCTATAGGCGAACCTGCGAAAGGATCATTGTCGATGTCTGTCCCGGCAGACAACAGCGAATTCGTGACCCGACGAACGAATACGGTCAGGCCGTCCATCGAGACAGAGTGGGCGCGGATAAAAACTCCAGCGTGGATTTTCGCGAATATGTAGGCATCCAAAATGGATTTCCTGTGATGCAGGTCGCGGCAAAAAGTCGCGAACGACGACCATGTCTGCCGTTCACGGACCCGTCGTCCAGTCGTATATTGCGAACGAGGATTCGCGCACATTCGCCGACGAACCCGCGTCAACGCGGGATGTCCAGTAAGACTTATTGTTTAGAGAAAAAAGAACACGTAACAAGGATTTTATATGCGAACATGCGAAAGGATCATTGTCGATGTCTGTCCGGGCAGACAACATCGAATTCGTGACCAGACGAACGAATGTCGGTGAGGCCATCCATCGAGACAGAGTGGGCGCCCATAAAAACTCCTGCGCGGATTTTCGCGAATACGTAGGCATCCAAAATGGATTTCCTGCGATGCAGGTCGCGGAAAAAAGTCGCGAACGACGACCATGTCCGCCGTTCACGGACCCGTCGTCCAGCCGTATATTGCGAACGAGGATTCGCGCACGGGCGCCGACGAACCCGAGTCAACGAGGGATGTCCAGCAAGACTTATCGTTTAGTGAAAAGAGAAGACGTAACAAGGATTCTATAGGCGAACCTGCGAAAGGATCATTGTCGATGTCTGTCCCGGCGGACAATAGCGAATTCGTGACCGACGTACAAATGCCGCTCAGGCAGTCCATCGAGACAGAATGCGCGCCCAAAAAAACTCCTACGCGGATTTCGCGAATATGTAGGCAGCAAAAATTGATTTCCTGTGATGCACGTCGCGGCCAAAAGTCGCGAACGACGACCATGTCCGCCGTTCACGGACCCGTCGTCCAGCCGTATATTGCGAACGAGGATTCGCGCACGGGAGCCGACGAACCAGCGTCAACGCGGGATGTCCACTAAGACTTATCGTTTAGAGAAAAGAGAAGACGTAACAAGGATTCTATAGGCGAACCTGCGAAAGGATCATTGTCGATGTTTGTCCCGGCAGACAACAGCGAATTCGTGACCCGACGAATGAATGCCGGTGAGGACATTCATCGAGTTAGAGTCGGCGCCCATAAAAACTCATGGGCGGATTTTCGCGAATATGTAGGCATCCAAAATGGATTTCCTGCGATGCAGGTCGCGGCAAAAAGTCGCGAACGACGACCATGTCCGCCGTTCACGGACCCGTCATCCAGTCGTATATTGCGAACGAGGATTTGCGCACGGGCGCCGACGAACCCGCGTCAACGCGGGATGTCCAGTAAGACTTATCGTTTAGAGAAAATAGAAGACGTAACAAGGATTCTATAGGAGAACGTGTGAAAGAATCATTGTCGATGTCTGTCCGGGCAGACAACAGCGAATTCGTGACCAGACGAACGAATGCCGGTGAGGCCATCCATCGAGATAGAGTGGGCGCCCAAAAAAACTCCTGCGGATTTTCCCGTATATGTAGGCATCCAAAATGGATTTCCTGCGATACAGGTCGCGGAAAAAAGTCGCGAACGACGACTTTGTCCGCCGTTCACGGACCCGTCGTCCAGCCGTATATTGCGAACGAGGATTCGCGCACGGGCGCCGACGAAACCGCGTCAACGCGGGATGTCCAGTAAGGCTTATCGTTTAGAGATAAGATAACACGTAACAAGGATTCTATAGGCGAACGTGCGAAAGAATCATTGTCGATGTCTGTCCGGGCAGACAACAGCGAATTCGTGACCAGACGAACGAATGCCGGTGAGGCCATCCATCGAGATAGAGTGGGCGCCCAAAAAAACTCCTGCGCGGATTTTCGCGAATATGTAGGCATCCAAAATGGAGTTCTTGCGATGCAGGTCGCGGCAAAAAGTCGCGAACGACGACCATGTCCGCCGTTCACGGACCCGTCGTCCAGCCGTATATTGCGAACGAGGATTCGCGCACGGGCGCCGACGAACCCGCGTCAACGCGGGATGTCCAGTAAGGCTTATCGTTTAGAGAAAAGATAACACGTAACAAGGATTCTATAGGCGAACCTGCGAAAGGATCATTGTCGATGTCTGTCCCGGCAAACAACAGCGAATTCGTGACCCGACGAACGAATACGGTCAGGCCGTCCATCGAGACAGAGTGGGCGCCCATAAAATCTCCTGCGCGGATTTTCGCGAATATGTAGGCATCCAAAATGGATTTCCTGCGATGCGGGTCGCGGAAAAAAGTCGCGAACGACGACCATGTCCGCCGTTCACGGACCCGTCGTCCAGCCCTATATTGCGAACAAGGATTCGCGCACATTCGCCGACGAACCCGCGTCAACGCGGGATGTCCAGTAAGGCTTATCGTTTGGAGAAAAGATAACACGTAACAAGGATTCTATAGGCGAACCTGCGAAAGGATCATTGTCGATGTCTTTCCCGGCAGACAACAGCGAATTCGTGTCCCGACGAACGAATGCCGGTCAGGCCGTCCATCGAGACTGAGTGGGCGCCCAGAAAAACTCCTACGCGGATTTTCGCGAATATGTAGGCAGCCAAAATGGATTTCCTGCGATGCAGGTCGCGGAAAAAAGTCGCGAACGACGACCATGTCCGCCGTTCACGGAGCCGTCGTCCAGCCGTATATTGCGAACGAGGATTCGCGCACGGGCACCGACGAACCCGCGTCAACGCGGGATGTCCAGTAAGGCTTATCGTTTAGAGAAAAGATAACATGTAACAAGGATTCTATAGGCGAACGTGCGAAAGAATCATTATCGATGTTTTTCCCGGCAGACATCAGCGAATTCGTGACGTTTCTGGTTAGTTAATTAATGCTGTTTATAAAGACTTGTTTGGTAGGAAGCTTCGACAGCTGCCGTGTATTTATTATGTTACCTGCGTATTTGAAATTACTTTTTTGCCCTTCCAATTTGATCGGTGCAATGATTTGTGTTGTTTTTTTTTTTTTAATCACGACATTAATTAAATATTTTTAAATATAGTTTCTAATTATTTTATATCATTAGTTTAATTTCATAGATAATTTTCCCTATTTATAAACAATATTTTTATATATATTATATTGGGCCCAAAAGCACATTGCTTTAAAATATATAAAGCTCAATTCGATAATCAATAATGGGCTTCGGCCCAATAATAACTATTGAGAGGGGTATAAAAAATAAAGGGAAAAAGGTTCTTCAATAAAAGTTTTGTGCTTTGTATTTTTATTTTTTTTTTCATAAAATTGAATATTTATATTTTCATTTAACATATATTTTTAGAAAAATGTTTTTTTTTTATTTAAAACACTACGTTAAATACTATTTCAAAATCCAAAACTAAAATTCAAAAAGAAAAATAAATAAAAAATTAAATATTTGATACTTCTTTGCCCTTTTAAAAGAATTATACTTTTATTTTCATCATTCTAAATAAAAGTTTATATTTTTTAAATAAGTTTGACCAAAATATACATTATAAATAAATATATATATATATATATATGTATATATGCAGTTGTATCAAATTAAAACGTAATAGCAAAAAATTCTTTACGCACAAGTACTATCAACTACTACTTAAAATATTATTACTCCCTTAATCCAAGCTAATTATCCTATAATGCCTATATTGAAAATGTAGAAATAGATTACGTAAAAAGTATAATAAGGAAATTATTAAAAAATAAAAAATAAAGTAGTTGTATAAATAATAGAAAAAAGTACTCCCTCCGTCCCATGTAATATGGGTGTATTACTGTAGACACGAGAATTTATGTAAATTTTCGTTGTTTTAGTCCTCTGGCGCCGGAGATGCCCGCGTGGCTCGCCGGAGGTGACGTGTCCGCCAGGTCACACGTCGATTTTTTATTTTTTTTAAACTTATTTTTAATTTATTTTAAATTTTATTTGTATTTTTTTTATTTTTTTATTTGATCCAATTAAAAAATTTAAAAAAAATAAAAAATAAAAAATAAATCCACGTGTCCGTCAGGTATCGCTGACCTGGCGGATACGTCACATCCGGCAAGCCACGCGGGCGTCTCCAGCGCCGGAGGATTAAAACAACGAAAATTTTTCACTTATGGGACTAGTTTGCGACAAGTTCCACGACTAAAATGATAAAGGGGTCATACGGGACTAAAAAACAGTTTACCCAAATAATTATTATTTAGTAAACATAATTATAGATTAAGATTAAGATTAAGATTAAGATAAGTAAATAGTTTAATTAAAATTAAAAAAATTATAAAATTTAAAATTTAAAATTTAAAATGCAATTAAATTAAAGTGCATAATTATATTTCCAAAAATAAAAAAAACAAGTTAATCGGGACTGACAAAAATAGAAAATAGGGACAAATTATAACGAATGGAGAGAGTAACAAGTTTATTATTATTTATTATAATTACAAGTGAATAAAATTATTTACCGTAAATAAATTAGTATAAATTTAGCAAATAAATAAATAAAAAGTAATATAAATTACTTGGAATGGAGTGAATTGTATCTTTATTAGCATATTTTTAATTAAAATATTTAATTATTTAATTTTAATTTATTATTATTTGTATTAATATTTTTTAATAACTTATTAATAACTCAATTCGTTCCATATAATTTGACTCTATTCCTGTATTAATAAAATAATTATTATATATAATAAAAATAATTTTAAATTAAAATTAAAATAAAAAAATTATAAAACATAAAATTTAAAAATGTGATTTAATTATAATTAGAAATTATACGGGCCAAACTAAACAAAAATTAAAGAAAATTTATTTCTGGTAATATTTGCGGAACGGTGATGGCCCCACAAGTTCCACACGACATCGGGGCGAGAGGGTTTTATTTCTAGAAAAAGTCAGGTTGGTTTCATCCTACGTGTTGTCTACTCGATGCCACGTAAGAGAGAGATAAAAGAACCTTCCCGCCGCCGTTGGACTCATTATCCAAACACTGGCGACTCTCCTGCTGGCTGGGCTGCTCCCGACTCTTCAAATTCAATCCCTTATTTAAGAACAGCTGTGCCTGCACCAGCGCGGCCTACATCAGATTTCACCTTCTTCGCAATACCTTATCCACACACACATTGGAGAAGCCAGCTCATTTCGCATCCGCTTGCAGTCGCGGGAACAGAATTTTCTTATTTTCAAGGTAATTTTGCAATCTCATCTTGTTTTGATTTGATTTGAGTGATTATTGTGGTTGATCCATCCGATACAATCCAATCGCGTCGGTTCGTGTTTTTCCCCGCTTTTTCTGTATCTGCAAATCGAGTATTTGCTTTTTTCGTGGTTTGACCTGAGTTGGACTTGGATTTTTTTATGTATATTTTTTCCTTTGGTGAATTTGACTCGCGTCGATGTTATCGCGGTATTCTCGTGGCTTAATTTTTGTTCACGATGGATTCATGACGTATTTCATTCTTCGGTATTTCGTCGGTAATTTGAGAATTTCTGTTTACTTATTAATTGTTTGTTACTTTTGATTTATTGCGTGTTCGGTGGTGAAGATCTAGCGGAGGACTATCATGTTAGCCTAACTTCTGATCGGATGATTGTGTTGAGCTAGTTTGTGGTTGATGTTCCTCGATGATTTATTATCATTTCTGCTGATTTCGCTTGTTCTTAATCTTGTTAGGTCTATTCTTTTTAGTTTACTTTGCTTTGATTTTGCGATGGTGCTCCATTGTTTATGCATATTAAGATGATTCATGGTTCTGCATCCTGAGTCCTGACCTCTTTTTTTCAAAGATCTTCCAAATATTTCAGGCTTCGTACCCAAAATTCCATTGATCTTTGTGCTTGCAGAGTTTCTGTTTCATCGTTAATGTGTTCTGCCAAACTTAGCCAATCCATTATATTCTATTGTGACAAATGCTTAGTTTTAGTGTTACTAAAATCGTCGCTCCATTTCTTAAAAGTTATCAGGACAATAAGTTGAATTGAGTTCATTAGCTCACATTATTTTTTGTGGTGAAGCTGTTAGGAGTTCTATGCTGATAAACGATGATTATACACATGCTTTTAATCAACTATATTAACAGTTCATATTTTACATGTGTGATGTATGCTTAGATCAATTGTAAGTATATGATTTGTGGACTATTTGTCATGTGTTATTGGTTCATTCATCGTACATGTATTATATTAACCAAAAGTTTGTGTTGTCGATTTATATTTCAATATGAAAAACACCCGTTAATCAACTTTTCTACAGGATAAGTTCGACCATTGTATGGATAAGACAGAAACTCACAAGGGACTCAATGGAGACTTGACTCGCGAGTCGCTGATCGCACTCTCTTATGACATACCTGTCGCAGATCTAACTTCCGAAGTTAATAACAACGTGGACAATCAAGATGTGGAAGCTCCTCTGTTTTGTGATGACAAAGAAAAATACAGGTCTGAGCTGATCTCTATTTCTTATTCGTCGTCGCCTGAAACGAAAGTGCTCCCGCTCTTTAAATTGCCGGAGTTCTAGTTTCAGTTTCTTCTATATTATGTCGTTGTCGAAGACGATGACGACGACGGCAATGCTGGAGTGCAAGAGTGTGTGGTGAAGTAGCCTCACACTCTTCGGCTCAGCTGTATATATGTATTTGTTCTGTATTGCTATTATCAACTTGCTACTTGTTGGAAGATTGGTATGTGTTTTTACTTTGTAAAATCCTTGGACGTAAGTTCCTGCAGCAATTATCTCTATATTTTCGATGCCATCAAATTTTTTGTAAAATAATTATTTGATATAATATATAAAAATATTTAATATAAACTTTCATAAAAAATTAATTATTGCATGAAGATATTACATATAAAACTTCAAAATTAAACAATTACTTTTAATTCAAACGTTCAAAACAATTCAAAATACATAAACATCCAAAACACACATGCACAAATAGGTGTCTAATAATATTTTAATATAAAAAATATGATAGTTAAAAATTAATCATATAAAAATAGTGATAAAAGTAATTATAAATTCATTAAATTTCATGTATAATAAACAACTTTATTGACCAATAATCTTATTATTATATATTTTAACAAATAATAACTTATAACTCTTCTTTAGAGCTGTTAAATGAATCGAACCGTTTGTGAACTTGGCTCGATTCGGTTCGGTTAAATCTCGTTCGCGAACGTTAACAAGTCGAGCCGAACAACATAAACAGGCTCATTTGGTTGACGAACGAACCCGAGCTTTATTTGCTAACGTTCGTTTAAATAATATATTTATTATAAATATTATATATACATATAAAATTATAATTTATAAATAAATATTATATTAATTTAAAATATATAAATAAAATAATTTTAAATATTTCGTTATAATTTATATATAAATTAAAAAAATAAGACAAACAAGCTCGAACGAGCTTAATCAAGCCTAAACGAGTAGAACACGAATACGAGCTCAAACAACAAAAATTCTTAATGAGTCGAGCTCAAACACTACGAACGAGCCCAAGCCTTGTTCGCGAACGTTAACGAACAGTTAAAATTTAGCTCGGCTCAGTTCGGCTTGGATCGTTAACAGCTCTACTCTTTTTTATATCAACTATTTAATTTTTTTTTTAATAATATTCTATTTACTTTTTATTTATTCATTATTATTTTTTAGTTTTTGAATTTATACAATATGATATAAGAATATTGGATGAAAAGAGTATTATTTATTAAAATAAAAATAATAAAATTATAAATAAATAAATTATGTGTAAATTTAAGTTATATGTGTGTTTATTTTGTGATTTGGATTTTGAGTTAAGATTTAAATAGTAAAAATTTTGAATTTGAACAGTGGTATAATGTGATATAAATAGATATTGACGTGATGTTTTGTATTTAAAATTAATTTTTAATATAATATAAAAAATAAAAAATAAGTGTTTTGATTTGATATTTTTTTTTAAAAAAAAATTAAGATTACCAATGTATTTAAAATCCAATTCCAAACAAAACACACCAAGAAAACTCAGGACTGACGACGGAAGGAAGGAGTAATCACGTTCCATGTGTTATTAATATGGGCATCTCAGTCAAAACTCTTTTTTGAGGGGTGGTGGTTTGCAAATTAACAAATTCCGGGTGTGAAAATGCAAAAACGAAAAAAAAAACAGAAAAAAAAGAGGGTAAATCTAATAGCCGTTAGAGAAGTGATGTGAAATCCCAAACTTAACCCTGTCCCGGTTTGGCTCCTTCTCCAAAGTCGGCGATGGATGCTCTGATTCAGAGAATCGGCAGAGCAGTGAAAGAAGCCGCGAGAAGCAGAAGATCAGATTGGTGGTACACTCCTCACATGGCGGCCGCCTCGCGTGCCATCGCCGACCGCCTTCGACTGGTCGATATCGTCCTCGAAGTCCGAGACGCCAGGGTACGTCCGTGCACATACATTCATACACGAAATGTGTTCGTAGAAATGACTGAACCGCCATTCATGTTGTTTCCGTCCGTGTTCTTTGCGAATTAATGCTGTATCGTGGATTTAGTTGCGTGATTGTTGGTATTCGTCGCGGAAATTAGCTGAAGTCGGTTTAATTGAGGCTTGAAGTTGGATGTGCAATCATAGGCGATGATGCTTGCTTTTTCCTCCCGATTTTCAGATTCCGCTGTCGTCAGAATGTCCGCAGTTGAGGAAACTTCCATCCTCCACGAGACGTCTAGTTGTATTGAACAAGATTGACCTTGCTAATCCCTCCTGGACAAAGGTTAGATTTGTTTATATGCGTTTTTGAGTGCTTTGATCATGTTGAGTAGTGCGCGCCTTAGTCGATTCGAATAGGAGTAAGCAGTGAATGTTATATATGTGATACAACATATTATAGAATGATTTCATTCCTTTAGCCTGTAGGATTGTGTAAGTTTGAATAAACTTGAATCCATGTGAAGGATGATAACTAAATCATTGTTGAACTGTTATTTATGTGCATAAGAACCGGAAAATGTCAATTTTAATTTGGTAGGATTTAACTTTGTAGGAAAACATTGTGTACCATTCTGTAAATTTTGTCTAAGTTTTTGTAGGAAGGCAGCTGTGAAATCTAATCAAGACTTCAGCAAGGACATTGTAAAATTCATTTTAATAAAATTGAATCTGTGTGAAGGATGATACTTGAAAAATTATTGACTGTTATTTTGTGTGCATAAGAACTCGAGAATGTTTATTCTATATTTAGCAAACTTTTGACTTTGTAGGAAAATATTGTCTATGTGAAGGATGAGGGCTTCTGTGAATTAAAACCAAGATTTCAGCAAGGATACATAACATAGGTTTAATAAATTTGAATCTATGTGAAGGATGAGGGCTTCTGTGAATTAAACCCAAGATTTCAGCAAGGATACATAAAATAGGTTTAATAAATTTGAATCTATGTGAAGGATGATATTAAATAATTATTGATCTGTAATTATATGTCCTAGGCTTATAACTTTTGTAGGAAAACTATGTGCCCCATACTGTAAAATTGGTGAATTTGTGCATGAGGGAAGCTGTGAATTCGAATCAAGACTTTAGCAAGGATAGCATTCATCTCCACATACTCTGAGGTGCCAATGCTGTAATCTTATCAAATTTTGAACTACTGAAATGCAGGAATTGGTTTCTTGGGAACTACTGAGTGAGTTTATGCATATTCTGAAAATTATGTGAAAAAATGCCATTCGCATTGCTCCAGCTTTACTCTCAAGAATCTTTAACTAGACTATAGTTTGATATTATACTCTACTGTTTGAGGGAATTTTATTTATCTTAAGCGAAGTATTCTCCTATTTGTTGTTTGAATTATGCAAGTTTGAAATATATACAAATTTGAGTAGGATTGGATGATATAAGGAGTAGAAATCTTAATCGCAATTTCCCCTGTCAATCAATCTTCTACTGCAGGAATGGATGACATTCTTTGAAGAGCAAAAATGGATGGTTTTTGGAGTAAACTCACATAACAGGGAGAATATCCGTAAGGTAAATCCACAACTTTTTTACTTGCATTTAGTTGTTGATGCAGTTAATAATAATGTAATTACATGATGATAGTGATTTTGAATATATGCTTTATAACCAGTATTTTAAAGCCTTTGAATGATTACTCTTTTTTTTTTTTCCTACCTGCTTATGAAAAAGGCTTGCATAAAAACAGCAGTGTTCACTTATGTTTATGTTATTATATTTTTGTTTTTAAAAAAGCATATATAAATTATTTTTCAAAGAACTGTTAGCACTTTTAACTTTCGGTATTTCGTTTAGTGTTTGGAACATGATGTCTTAAATGTTCCAAAATAATCATTTCATGTTTAATATTATGGTCTTGCCATGTTGTGTATCATCATATTAAACACCCCTGCAGTTCCTCACCTTTCTACAAGCAAGAGTGAGAGAATTGGAGAAAACCGATGATCTTCATCGAACCATAACTTTAATGCTGGTCGGTATTCCAAATGTGGGGAAATCTGCATTAGCCAACTCTTTGCATCAAGTTGGAAGGATTTCAGCAGCAGAGAAAGGGAGGTTAAGGCGCTCAGTCGTGAGCCCACACCCCGGAGAGACAAAAAACATAACCAGTTTAAAGGTGTGCAACTTTCATCTTTTTGCACTTTACACACTTCCTCAAGTGACTCTTATTTTAAACATGATAGTTAATTAGTTCTGTGCTTCCGTTCTTCGTGAAATATGTAATTTTTGTTGTTATCTTCTTTTGGAAAATGAATAAACCAACATGTTTAGTGTCTTGAATTTGCTTCCCTAATCTTTCAAATAAGGGTTAAAACTTTGATACTATTTCATAAAAAAATCATAAAACATAAGGCTTTGTTTTTATTTTTTTAAACTACAGATTGCAAGCCATCCCAGTGTATATGTCTTAGACACACCGGGCGTGTTGCCACCGTATTTGACCGACAATCAGGTAGGCTCAAAGCTTGCTTTAACAGGTATGATCCTATCACCCCAAATGAACTTGCACTATAGAATGCAAAAACTCTACACATCATTAAATATGGTTTGTGTGTAAACTCAGGGGCAATCAAGGATAGTCTAGTTGGAGAAATAAACCTCGCTCGATATTTTCTTTCTGTTCTTAGCTCGAGCGACGAATACAAGAAATGGGAAAACTTAAACTTAAGCAATGGAGTATTGGCTAATGAAGGCAGTCCTGATCTGGGTAGAAGGCAGAGAAGGCAACTTCAAACTGATCATACTCAGGTATGAAAACAAAGGTTTGGTGAAGCCCGGACGGGTTGAACCTACTAAATTATACTCCATGTTTTATAGTACGGTATTTTAATTTAAAGACATGTTTTATAATTATCTTTACTAAAGTGAGGATAAATTATGCAATAATATAATATATGATATTCCATGTATATATATGTTAAAAATACAGTGTTTTTTATACATCTTCTATCCTAAATAATTTTTAACCCAACCTCGAAAAGTAAGCTTCATATTTATAATATTGACAAAAAGTCTATTATAATTTATGTGCAAATGATTTTTTTTGTTGCGGAGACTGCTAATTGTATGATTTAAGTTATTTCAATTATATGTATGTATGTGTTATTTTCTTGATCTAGTATGGGTCCAATTTTTAGGGATTATATGGCATCCTTGTTTTCTTTTCGGATATGAAACACAATTATTTGGCCCAGAAATTAGTCTAAATGTAGCTGAGACTCAGTCTGGGATAATTTGTGGTGATGTCTAGAGAGAGAGAGAGAGAGAGCATTGGTGTCTTAGCTTTGCTTGTGGTTGAGATAAATTTGTGATTGTTGATTGGTGATGGTGCAGGATGCGATTGTGAACGGCGTGCGGCGTGCACTATACGAAACAATATCATCATCCTCCTTTTCAGGGCATGGAGAAGAAGATTTATCAGCTCTTATGAAGGTATTTCATGTAGAATCATCACAACCTAATAATAGTAATACTACTACTAATAATAATAGAACAACGGCTATCAAGTTACTTAACCTGTTCCGTACGGGAAGGCTCGGACATTATACTCTAGACCATCTTCCAACTGAAATTTTTCCATGCGTTTCCACATGATATCATAAAGAAGCACACTCAAGCTATTATTATTATTATTATTATTGTTGTAGTTGTTTTTTTAGAAAAATTTTAGAAAATTAGAATGGAATAAAGTTTATGTTGTTTGGTCTTTTTTTTATTATTATTATTTTAATTCGTTGTTTGAATAATATGATTTGAATGTGGTTTTTATGAAAATAAAAACAATACATATTTATAAAAAAATTGCAATGCAGGTGTGATAATAATTAAGTTAGTCCCGTTTTCCTGATTGGTTTTGCAGTTTTGAATTCCTATCAGTTTTGTACACTGCATTCAGCACTACTTACATTAGCTCAATACGAATTCCAATCAGTCTTTGACTAAATCACAATTACCCAAAACCATAAATGACACTAAAATCAAAAGTTTAAATTAATTGAACATAATAATATAGCAGAAGAATGAAAGGTTGTTTAAAAGTTGTAATATATAATCAAAGTATATTCTTTCAGTTCACATTTTCCATAAATGTATTTTATGGAAACCTTATTATTTACTATGCCATGAGAACTTACTTAACACAATGCAGCAAGCTAGAGATAGATAATGCATATAATTAAATTTTAGAGAGGGCGTATGCTGGGAGATTTGGACTCATCGGGAGCTTTAAATCTTCCCAGTCATTGTCGTCGTGTACTCTGGAGAAGTACCGGTCGACCATTTCGCTACTTATACACTCTAACTTGGAGGGCTCCCACTGTGAAAAACAAATGATGAAAACAAACAATAAAAAGTAAAGAAAGGTCACGGCACCATATGCTGTTATCAGCTCCTGACAACTTTTTAGACATGCACTTAATTCAAGAATAACTCTTCCTTCTGGGTATTAAAAATTGGCAAAATTTCCTATAACTCATTTGTAATTTGAAAAGTCCACACCGTATTTTAATGATTTAGAAATTATATTAGCTCCTTGTATTTTAGAAATATTGCACATAATCCCTTCTAAAAATTGTGAGGCTTCACTATGTTTTCGAAAATATTGCACAAGAATTTTGTGCAATGTTTTAAAAAAATATAATAATAGTCATAATCAAATGATCACACAAAAGGCATACATCCATATAAATATCATGTGAATGCATTGTCATTATTCATATCATTGTGATATTATCTAATCAATTTAAACAAAACCAAAGACACCCCTAGAATAAAAGATTTGTTTAGATGTATTTTGGAAGTTTATTTTTTACAATTTTGGAGTTTTGAAAATCGTAAAAAATTGAATAAAAAATAAGTATTGAATGTGATGTTCTGTTAAAAATAAATAAATAAATAAATAAATAAAAAATAAACTTTACTGATGTAAATTGAAATGAAAAATAAGTGTTAAATATAATAAATATATTTTAGAGTGACCAATTTCAATGTATAGCGCCAAAACTGATTTGAAAATATATGTAAAACTAATCATTTTCCCCATAAAAATTTAAAAAGGTATGTAATTTGTTTGTGCACCTTTGGATTTTTGTCCTTGTCCAACAGTATAGCGCGGCAACCCTGGAATTACAATTAGATTTAGAAATCCATAAGTAAATGTCATAAGGACAGTTCAAGCCAGTCCATATGTACCTCGACAAAATCATTGCTAACTTCCCCAAGCATCACATGACAAACCATTCTGTATTCCCGGACAAGGCATTTACCGATGCCCTGGAGTCTTCCTTCCCTAATCTGGCAATATAAGGGGAAAAATCAGATGTGGAGTAATTATATTCCAAAATTTATGAAACTTTTTGGTTCTTAGGAACTACAAAATGCAGTCATTAAGTTAAAATCAACTAATCGATACCGATCTAAGAGAAATTTTGAGGCTTGTTGGAGAGGACTTTTTAAGTGACTGAATTGTGGAAGAGATCCACTCATCGTTTTTGTTGGCAGCAGCCTCACTCTCCTAGAATTGTGAAAGAAGAAAATGATAAAATTAAATACACCCCTGGGAATAAGCAGTTAGTGAAATTTGCATGATAATATGATCGACAGCAACTTACAAGGGCAGCTATAATATCTTCTACCGTTCTTCTTGAAAAGCATTTATTGATTATGCTCAACCTGCATGAATTAGTGTGGGAAATGAGTGAAAACCTGTTTATGGATGGATTTCAAATAACATGAGCTAAATTCTCATCATCAAATGAGTACATCATCAACTGAATGCATCTAAATTATCTTTTCCAAAGCCCGGTTGATAAAACATAATTACATGCCATGCAAGAATAATGATACCTGTGATAAGCACTATTCTTTTTCAAAAGTGGTGTCTGTGAGAACTTATCAATAATAGAAGAGATAACAGCTGGATCACTCGAATCTGCTTCAACAAGTGCTTTTTCCAACAATGGCAATCTCTGTTTGATGGTAAAAGAACGTCTAAATCCGTCAATACCCAGAAATGCGTCTTCAAAATTACACCACAAAAACACTCCAACTTAGCTGAAAAATATTAGTTACTTTTTCAGAAATCTCACTTCAGAGTTTTTTCTTTTTGGGAGAGTGTTTGAAAACAAAGGACGGAAAAATTTTCATTGTAACGCAACAAGAAATTCAGAAGTAAGAAGGCTTTTGTACTTTCTTTTCGATACTTGAAAACAAATAATACTTTAAAATGAAAAGGCAGTTCATTTCACAGGAGTTAAACGAGAGCTACACCTCTGATGGAACATAATGGGTTGCCAGACCGCAAGCAAGCATCTCAGCACCATCCAACCTTGCGCCAACGAGACCAGCATATTCCCCTGACAGAAATAGGCAAATTCTGAGAAACCAAACAAAGCAACTGCAGCATGCTGATGCAATTTTTGACAAAAAACTGACCTATCGAAACTTATGGAATAGAAACTTTTCAGACAGAATAAATTTTTATAAAGAAGGCAATGTGATCCAGATTTCCGGGTGCACATAAAGTAAAAAAGTACATACATGTATATCATCCCTATCTCATTTCCATCTAAGCTAACACATGATGTAAATTACAATCTAACTATGGCAGAGTGTAATGTACACCTACCTTAAAGCACGGCCTCTGTAAAAAAACAGGGGGAAATATGAATTACCAAAGAAGCCATGGAGTCTTGACAAAAAGTAGGAAGCGCCTACATCTGGGAAAAGTCCCAATGCTGTTTCCGGCATAGCAAAAAGCTGCCGAAAGATTATAATGTGGACTTTTGTAAGAAATCTTAGCAATCAAATGAACTCATGATAAATAAAAATAAAATAATATTATAACATGAATTATATGAAGAACAAAAGATCATTATGATTAGGTTATTTGGTACACTAAGGGCTAAAACAGGTTTATTTCTACTGTAGAAACCTATTTCTGGGTGAAATGTAGAATATAACGACATATTGAAAATATATATAACTGCACCATACAAACTTTTTAACAATCAAACATCAAGGGCAAGCCTTGATTTCCAGACAAATGGCTAAAGGAAGGTTTGGGCATTCATAAGCACAACTAAATCATCAAGGAAGATCCTCAAGGTTGAGCAACTAAAGGTTTAGTCGAATTCCCAAAGTTTATGAGCCTGGCATTGCTTTAGGTTTCAGCCGAATTTCTGTGACTTGGATATCAACCCAAACATATTTAACACTTGGAAGATCATACCCTTATATGCATATTACACAGACAAGCACATGGCCACACACACATTCCGAGGTCAATTCCTTGGGATAGATTTCAATTATAAGCTATTATATTAATTCCCCGAAGTGTTTTGGTTGCCGATTTCAATATGAATGTCATGGTGTTTTTAACTTTTTATAGTCTACATATTCAATTATACAAACAATATATTGAAAAAAAAAGTTATATAGATACTAATTTGACCTTTAATGACAAAAATGGCCCAAGTTGTGGCAAAGGACAATTCAAAAAAAATAAAATAAAATAAAAAATGATATTAATAAAAAAAACCATAAAGAAAGATAAGACAAATACCGATCTCTCCGTAGCAACACGGAATCTACCATGTATGGACACACCTGCTCCTCCACCCATGACAATTCCATTAAGAATAGAAACCTTTTATTGTAATTGCAAACAAAAGGGTAACTTTAAATATCCAATAAGGATTGAAGCAAAATAACCACATCAGTCAAACAAAAACAATCAGCACCTGTGGTTTACTGTATGTGGCAATCACATAATTCATTGTATACTCCTCTCTGAAAAAGTCCGCTCCTCCCTTCCAGTTGCCTAGTTCATATACAAAATACTATAAGCATCAGGCAAGATCATGTAATTATTAATCAATGAAGATAGCAGCTCTGTTTGACGTGCAGAAATGGTAATGATCACAAACATATAAAGAGCTTAAGCAAGAGGTGAATTTAAAGGGAAAATTCAATAGTTGGTTTCAATTGAGATATTAACACTTTTCTGATTTATTTACAGTAAACTCCATAAGAAATCTAATGTTAATTGATAAGATTCAGGAATGTGATTCCCAGTACATGGAGTAAAGAGCCATGGTCTACCTTGCTTAATATCCTGAACAACTTTAGCAACATCACCTCCAGCACAAAATGCTCTTCCACTTCCCTATGTCACCAACCAAGTAAAGACAGATAATTTGGTTATGCTAAGGAGTAAGGACTGCAGAACAGGGATGCATGAGACACATCTTCTGTTGCTAATAATCATGCTTGATGGGATGACAGTCAACCTAATCAGTATTTGTAAATAGAGGCATACCTTTAAGATTATTAATTTTACAGAAGAATCTTTAGCACACGCAAGAAAAAGCTCCAACAACTGTGAAACCTAGAATGAAGAATTTCCAGTTAATCATATTAATCTTGGTCTCTGCATTTCATTCTGAGTATGGCAAAAACAATAATACCCACTGTGGTACATGTATGAATCTTAACATTGTACACACAAAAAACTTTAGGTTGTTCTTTTGTGGGTTTTACTATTCAGATTTTTTTTTTCCTTTCAAAAATATCAAATCAAATAATTAATTTTCTTTTTTTATATTATACTATAAATATACTTTACATTCAAAATATGACATCGGCATCTATTTATATAATATCAAACAACTATTCCAATTCAACTTTTTACTATTAAAAAAACGAAACCCAAAACTCCAAACCCACAAACAAACACACCCTTAAAAATTTCAAATGTATGTGTGACAAATGTACACCTACAAACTAACATCAAGCATGATTAAACTCCCAATTTCACATCATACTTAAAAAAAAAGTCACACAGATGGCATGACAATCATTCCCTTTCCCAATAGAATATAATATGCAATGAATTGAGCATCTGTGTCTAGTGAGAAACCCAAATCTATGTGCTAACCAAAGAAAACACCAGGTATAAAGAATGGCATCATTGAGCATTTACACTATGGTTCGATGATGGAACATTTCTGAACCGGCCATATCACATTCATATCAAACACAATATATCCGAAAACAATTCCTCCGGACACACACAGAGGCACATATATGTCAGGAAATTCACTGCCAAATGTTATCTATATTCAAATTAATATTCAAGCCTATCTCATCCCCAATTAAGATACTATACAATAACTAATATATTTTCAATACAATATGTCATAACCAAATCACTATACGATCTTACACTTGTTCGTGTGCGCAAATATCATCATCTGTATACTCTTTTTTTTTTTTTTTTTTTCTTTTTTTTTTTGTATTCATAACATCTTTAAATCCTAAAAACTCCTTTTTCACTCAATTGAACACAAAACAAGCATAGAGATCAACCTTCAACTTGTCTAACAACTTCAATCCCCAACAGGCACTTATTAACCGAAAACTTACCATGGTGCTTGAGAGTGCATTCAGCTGTTTAGGCCTGTTCAGCGTGAAAATTCTCACAGATGATTTTGCTTCCACCAGGACCTGCAGGAAACTTAAATCGTAATTTGCGGAAAAACCGGTGGCAAACAAATTTCAAGATACTACGTCCATCAGCAATTAAAAACATCGAGCACAGGATATCGCCATTTCTTTACCATCCATTCGACGTGAACACAAACAAAGACAAAAAATTCACCATACGCGACGAGGAAAAAAAAAAGAAAATTAGAGATATAGAAATCCGGAAGTAGAAAGCTTCCCCAAACTTTTCCAACTTCCGTTCTCTGCCTTCAAATCAAACAAAACTCAAAGGTCGATATACCTGATCGGTCGCTCCGTTGGAAGAAGCCATGGCCGAAGAAATCGATTGTTTCTGGTTGCTGATACCAGCAACAATTAGGGAGGGAGGGAGGCAACACAGTAGATATGCGTGCAACAAGATATGCGTGCAACAGTGAAAGTCAAATAAAAATAAATAAATAAATATTTTTCATACTCCATTATTCTGAATATATATTTTATTTGAAATATTATACTTATATAATTAATTTTTTATTACATATTTTGATTTTTAATAGGAGTATTAAATACACTTCTAATTTTTATTTATAACTAATAGTATACACTAAGTTGTGTAAACTATGAAATTTTATATATAGATAAAATATTTATTTTTTTAAAAAATAAAATATAAAAATAAAATCTTTTAATTAAATATTATATAATTAATTAAATTTAATTTCTATTTATTAAATACTTATATTGTAATTTAATAAAATATCCATTATTACGGTACAATTGGAAAACTGTCAATTAGAATTGACTGAGGGAGTTACTATTAATAATAAATTTTATTTACAAATAATATCAACAATAATATTATAAGAACCTGCAAAACACCGAGGAAAGATTCACCCCGAGGAAGATTCGACCTACTCATTAAACAAGCAGTGTCCACAACACACTCCTGTAATATATTATACGGATCTAAGCCATTACCTGTGGAATCGGAGATCTTCTCTACTACCAAAATACGCAGATTCAGGGAAGCAGGAATTTGCAAATGGCGTTGGGAGAGGAAGAATTTCTGGCGTGCTGTGGGAGCGCCAAGTTCGCGAAGTTAATGGTGTCCGCCGGACCATTTTCCAATTATCAAGAAGCCGTCGATGCTGCCAGAGAGATATGGTTCAACAAAGTCTGTGACTGCTACTTTCTATCAATGCTCTTTTGATTTTCTCGAGATTTACGGACCTGTATGTACCGATTCCGATCCCGATGATGATTTTTTCTGTTTTTGGTACGTTTTTTTTACTAAATTTTACAGGTGGATGTCAACGGATGGCTGGAAGCGTTTGCTGCTCATCCTCGGATCGGCGAAAGCCCTCCACAGAGCCACAAGAGTCCAACCTTTGCGCAGTTGAGTTCATCACTCCTTTCCTTGATCTCGATTATGAATCAGAAGCAGGCAATCTGGTATTATAAGAACGGTTCAAAAACCGGAGCCTGGAACCTGGATCATTAGAAACTTGTGCTGAAAAATTCTTGTGCTGATTTAACTGGTTTTCATGATAAAATTTGATCATGGGAGAATAGTGCATTTGCTACACGGCTATATGCTTTTCACTTGGTCTTGGAAAAGATAAATGACCTTAATCCATATTCCCTGAAAATTTCTCTTACTTGTACCTGATCATTTTATAGCTTGCAACCTTTTTTTTTTTAAATACCTTCTAGTTCTATCGAAACAGAGCAAAAACTCTAGGGGAGTAGTAGCAGTTAATTTTGCAAAATTAAGCCATAACTTAATCAAGTTTTAATTATGGGTGTTCTAAAAGAGAACATGAATGGATTCCATAACTAATTTGAAGGTTTAAAAGACATTTTCTGTGTTCTGTTTTGGTGTTTTTGAGATGAAAATACCCTTTAGGGTGTGATACTCTTGATAGAAAATGGGCGTTGGATGTGAAAATGGTATGTTAATAATAAAAAATGAAAACACACACACACACACACACACACAAATGCTCCCTTTCAATTCTGATATACATGTTTTTAATTTTGTTCCCCTTTTCTAACAGTTTATAAACACTGAGTGCCTTAGAAATGGGTGGATTCTAATATGTACACATTTTTCTCACAGATTAACACATCTTCCAAGTTTGCGTTCTACATGGCTTGCATCTGTTCGAATTTTCCTTATTCACCATAGTGTTATTTTAAGCAATTGTTTTGCCAAAATGTGTGTGTCTGTGTGTGTGTGTGTGTGTATCATTGTTGATACTAGGTTTGTCTGGTGTTAAGTAATTCAGATATGGCATGTCTAGGCTCATAAACTGCCATCATGAGTTTGAAAATGATCAGTACTTTTCTGTCACAGGTGGAGCAAGGGTGAGCAGTCGACTGCATTAACTACTGCTACGGACTCTACCTTGCAGGTTCATCATATCAAAATTTTTGTGTATCCTGCCTATGGAATCTAAATGGCTAACTTTCAGCTATAAGTTTACCCTTGTATAAAAACATTTGATACACCCATTATAGGTCTCAATAGATTTATCCCAATATATCCTGGATCTGAAGGGCAAAAATTTCTTACTCTATGATTGAGCAATAATCTTATGATTGGTCAATGCTTCTGAGTATTAGTTTGAGGTTGTGTTTCTCTTGATTTATACATTTGTGACTGGGTCAGGGATTTAGTCTGTTTGAGGGATTAAATCATTAACGGGTGCAAATCATTTTGAAGTCTATATGCAGGCGACTATGTGATTTTATCGTTTTTTTTTTTTTTTTTTTTGGTAGGAGTTGCATGAGTTGAATGCTCGCTACTGGCAGAAGTTTGGATTTGTTTTTCTCATATGTGCATCCGGAAGAAGCACCCCAGAGATTCTTTCAGAGTTGAAAGTAAACTATTGCATAGCTTTATGTCCTCGTTACTATGATTTCATATGCCAATTGTTCTTTCAAAATAGCAATGCTGCAATTTTGCTCCTTATGAAAATATTGATTTGATTTTTTTTCCCCTTGCTCTTCTGTCCCTGCACTTATAATCTAAAGCAGCAGAAAGTAGTCGTGTGTCAGCTTCTTTTAATACAAAAAAACAGGCTGTGATCAATGGATTACTTGTCACAGAGACGATATCAGAACAGACCAATAGCTGAGTTTGAGATTGCAGCCCAAGAACAGATGAAGATAACTGAATTACGCCTCGCCAAACTTCTTTCACCTGATACAGCTGCTCCTTCTGGTGCCAAAATTTCGTCTAATATGGACATGGCGACAAAAGCAGGAGGTTGTTTCCTGATTGCTTTTTCCCTTCTTTAATGTTCTGTTTATGCTGGTTGATGTCTTTCTGTTCTGTTTTCGGAATATCCACTTGTGAATGATACTGCAATGATTGAAAGCCCTGAAAACCCGAGCTATACATGGTTCTATTTAGAAAGATTTCGAACCAGCCAGGAAGCTATGCTTTTGCTTTTGGTTAGAACCCAAATTGCTGTTTAGAACACTACAAGACACTGATCACAAATGCGCATTAGTAGGTCAATTTTGTATCGACAATATTCTTGAGACATGTGTATCATCATATCCTGATAATCTCTTGTCATGATAATCTTATTGTTGTCGAATTAAACATTTCCTATTTGGTATTTACATGTTCTTAATATGTTACATGCATATGCTGTAGAAGATCGCGTGACTGTCATCGGGGGACATCTGACGCCAACACCCCCACCGGGGCACACCAGGACACGGCCACCGATCACGACCCACGTCCTCGACACAGCAGCCGGCCGTCCAGCTGCCGGCATCGAAGTCCGTCTGGAGATGTGGGAAGACCCCCAATCCCGGCCACTATTTCACCAGATCGATTCAAACTGCTGGAAGCTTCTTGGATCCTCGACCACAGACAAAGACGGGCGCAGCGGTCAGCTAATGAGCATATCAGATGCTCTGAATCCCGGCGTGTACAGAATCAGCTTCGACACAGGGAAGTACAATCCGGAAGGCTTCTTCCCCTACACAGCAATTGTGTTTGAGATCCGGGAGTCGCAGAAATGGGAGCACTTCCACGTCCCGCTGCTGCTTTCGCCGTTTTCATTCTCGACGTATCGCGGGAGCTAAGGTACGTTGTAATATTGCAGAATCTTTCTTGTTAGTTTGTAGTTAAATCATTAATCAATGGTTTTTGAAGTTAGTTATTACAAAATGGAACAAGAATTGGGGTTTTCGTCACTGAAGAGCTGAGGGGCATAGACATAATGTATGAAATAAGGTTTGGCTTCGACTTTCTTAACCTCCTCAAACTCTTTCACCACTTTTTGGTCTCCATCATCTTCTGTTTCTTTCTTCTTCTTAACCTCGACTTTAGTTTCTGTCTTCTTTTCTTCTTGTTTTTTAATCTCTGCGTATTTGTGGAGTTTCTTTTTCATGTATGCAACGAGCTTTTCGTTTTCGATCACACCTTCTACTGTTATGGTCTGAGCTTTCATGTCTGTCTTCACATTATGTATTTCTGCACCATTTTTTCATTTTTTTTTTTTTGTAATGTTAGAAATTCCTTGTTAATAAAATACAGAGTAAAATATTTCGTAGTTTCGTAAATGAAAATTTTTAGTAGTTTTGATTCTCTGGCATCTCTGGCGCTGGAGATGCTTGTGTGGCATCCTTGTGGCTCATTGTCCGTCAAGTCAGTGACATTAGGTGATTTATTATTTTTAATTTATATAATTTTGTATTTTTTGGATTTAATTCAATTTTTTTTTTAAAAAAAAGACTATAATTTTAAAAAAATTAATAATAAAAATAAAAAATTATATGTGTCCGTCAAATATTGTGACTTGATGGATACGTGGCCTCCGATGAGCCATGTGGGTGCCACGTAAGCATCTTCGGTGCCGGAGGATTAAAACTAAAAAAAAAATTTTTACCTACGAGTCAGTTACAGGACTAAAATACAAATAGAATGAGATTCAAAAAAGTGTATCTTAAAATAAAATAAACGTATGTGATTGTATATAAATTACCTTTGTGTACGAGCAACCGTCGACGTACCTCACGTTCACATTCGTTGCAATGGAAGTAAGCCTTTAGGGTAATTGATTTTATATTTTCCTTCACATTTTTTTTTGTAATTAGTAATCACACCCCAATGTATATATAAAAGAAAATGAAACTTATTTTTAGGCTTGTACGAGAACACAAAATTGGGAATAAATTGGTTGAGCAATTTTACCTTCTTTTTAATTTCTTCTGCCTTAACTTTAGTCTCGAATATTATCTCAACTTTCTTACAGCGTTTTTGGAGCAGTGTTTGGACTTTTTTGGCATCGATTGCCCCTGTAACTATGATCTCACCCTTTTCAAATTTGACATCCACGTTATGAACTCCTAAAAATAAATAAATAAATAAAATATCATAACTTCAAACAAAGAGCTTAAACCCCTCCAAATCATGAATTGATTTGAAATTAACTAAAATTTGGCATAGTTATGTGATTTATTATTATTATTATTATATATATATATTTTACATAGTACTTGTCCAATTGTGAATTCCTCCACATACATATGTATATATATTGCTTGTATTTTACTACATGAATTTTCTTTATATATCATGCAATAATAATAATAATAATAATTTTTTACTACATGAATTTTCTTTATATATCATGCAATAATAATAATAATAATAATTCAAGATATATATCGTTTGACGTCGATGGCACCTAAAAAGGTTCTACCACACTAGATATTTCCACTGATTTTAAAGTTTGGCAAAGTTGGATGTGTTCCTTTTACTTATGAATATTTTAATTTTTGTTATTTTTAAATAAAATAATATTTCTGTATAAAATATTTTTATTAAAAATAATGAAATTGAACCAAAAAATTAAAAAAAAAAACAAAGAGAACATATCTTTAGGTAAATGAATAATTGTAGTAGCAATATTAATTTTGGAAAAAAGATCTTGTCAAAATTGATTACTAACACAAAATTCTGTTAAAGCAGAAGTTGCAGTAAAAGTTGCAATAATACATATTTGGAGAAATTTCAAAGTTGAGCAAAGATAATCAAAACAAATTTCGAGTTTTTTCATGTAAAATAGATAGTTTATAGAAAGCCGTATGCATTTTTAAAATCAATACTAAAAAAAATCCCATCAAATATTTGAACCGAATTTCTTGGATTAGTAAAAAATTCAATCCCCCATAATATATATATATATGTGTAACAAGTAAGACAAAATAAGATGAGAAATAGAAGAGATCGAATAAGTAAAAAAAAAAAAAAAAAAACCTTGAATTCTAAGAAGAGGCTTTTTGATGTCGTGGGCACACTTAGGGCAATGAAGATATGCCTTGTAAACTACTGTGATCACTTCTAATTTCTTCTCTTCTTTTGTCATCTCTTGAATTTCTTCTTCTTGCCTTAGCTTCAAATGCAAAATCAATAAGTAGTGTGTATTATACTAAATCCTAAATATTAGTTGGTGGGATTTTATGGGAAGTGGTTCATCTGTTTCTGGAATTAATTCTCATTACTTTTGAACTCAAATTGAATTTAGTAATATAATATATATTTGTGTGTTGTGACAAATATATTAACCTATTATATTGCCTTTGTTAGATACAACACCGCATCTAATGATGTTGCTCTCTCCTTTTATATACTCCTTTCGTCCCAGAAATAAGTATCCATTTGCTTTTTGCATGTAGTTTTAGAAATATTAGTATTATATTGGGATATAGTAGGAATAAAGTAGAAATGACCAATAAAGGTAATGGCATTTGTGTAATATATTGTAAGTTGTAAGGATATTTGTAACGTTAGGTAGATAGTACAGTTATGTGACGGACTAAAATGGAAAAATGGATACTTTTGTTATGGGACGGATGAAGTATTTATTTCCAGGAAACATTAGTGTGTTTGTTGTAGGGTTTGACTTTAATTCGAATGATAAAATTTTGAATTCAAATAATTATTTGACATTATATAAATAAGTGTTTATATGATCTTTCAAATATAAATTTAATATAATATTTGTTTTTTTTTTAGATTTTGTTTTATTTGTTAATAAAGAATAAAATGAAATGAAAACCTACAATCAAACATATACTTTATATACGAATGATGGTCCGGTAGTATAGGGGTTGGACGAGTGATCGTTGACGTCTCAGGTCACCTGCCATACATAATTTTGATTTTATATTACAAAAATTTGGAATATATATTACAAAACAGCGGTGATAATAAAATATAGACCAAAATTTTGATTTTTCGCAAAATGATATATACATGTATACATATGTGTATAGGTGAAGGAAACCTTCTTCGACAATTTTTTGTAATGCTATCAATCATAAAAACAAAATAATAATAATAATAATAATTTGAGAATAAACATCGTGTGTATAGAGATAAACATATTTCGATTGATTATGTAAGTCATTTTTTCGTCTTTCTACTGAGACAAACCGTCGTAATAAAGTACATTGGATCCTCTCTTGATAGATATTCTGCTAGTTTCTTTTCATACCTTTTGTATAAATCATCCATAATTGTATTCCCAAAATGTTTAGCAACTATTGGTTCTGTATAAGCCCTAATGAAATTCGACACTTTTTGCCCTAGCTTATATTTGTCCACTTCATCATACCGGTTGCCATAATCGTATCGTACATGTGCATCCCAATGAACTTTAAAACCCTCGACTTTTTCTAAATTAAATGATCCCTCGATCTTGATCAGTTCCTCAACTTCTTGTGTGCTCGGCTTGTATAGAGGTATGTTGAACGAATACAAATCCGCCTCCTTCACCGTCCCCTATATCAAGCCAAAATATATTAAAAAAAATTGAAATTTAGTATTCCATCTGTCCGTCTCTAAGGGCCACTTTTACTTTTACGTGTCATTGTACTTAACATTAAAAATATCATTATATTTGTATAATTTTTTGTATAAATGTTTTTCTATTAGTATTATAAGACACTGATGGAAGTAGTTTTGCAATTTTTTTATAGTTTGTACTATGTTTTGATATAATAATTAATATTCAAATATCAATACGAAAAAAAAATGTAAATGGAACTCTTAGAGTCGGACCACTACAAGAAAAAATCATTTTTGTAACAAAATTTTTTTGTCTCTAAATCTATTTTTTCCGTTACTAATGATATTAGAGACGGAAATAGGAATGTAATTACGTTAGCTACGTGAACCTTAGAGACAGAATTCCGTTACAAATATATTTTTTTTTTGTAGTGGACGAATATAATATTATTTTTTAATTAGTTATATCGTAAAAGATATATATAAAATAAAAAATAAATAAAAATCTTACTTCAACTTAAAATTGAACTGCATAAAATTAAAGCAATTTAAGCTCACCTCTACTAAGAGCTTTGGATATTCTCAAATTAGATAAATTAAATTTCGAGCTAATGAATCACATTCATGCAAACATGTACTAATTAAATTAAACTGTTTTTCTTAGAATTTAAATATTAATAATATTCTTACCTCATTAATCATTTCGACGAATGTATCTGCAAGAATGGTGAACTGCATGTAGTCGTCATGTAATAAGGAATCTTCGATACTTCGTCCCACAATAGTTAAAATCATATAACCTCCGGACATCATTTCTTCACTCCGTGACATAAGAAATGTCATAAAATCTCTTTGGTATTGCTTTTTATACGCGTCAATTACCTCTTGGGGACTTGTCATAGATATGCTAATGTTACTTTTATTGCTCGCCAAACCTTTGGGAACCTATAGTAGTTATCGATATTTAATTATATTTACTACAAAAAAATAATATATTTGTAATGAAAATGGGGGACGGTTGGTGTTAGTTATGTGAATTTAAGGACAGAAATATTGAAAAAAATGAATTTAGGAATAAAAAAAATTCGTTACAAAAATATTATTTTCTTGATTTGTACACCCCACCTCTTTTTTGTATTGAATATATATATAGTATGCAACAAATAAATTATGAAAAATACCCTTCACTCCCTGTCCTTTTAATATATATATATATAATTTTTCCATATATAATATACCAAAAAATAACTAGAATAAATGAAAACAATGCTAAAAATTTATGTAAGAATAAATTTGTTTGGGGTTTGAATTTTAGATTTAGGTTTTGAATAATTATTTAAAGTGATACAAATAAGTATTAATGTAATATTTTGAATATAAAATTAATTTTTAGCAAAATATAAGATTTACAAAAGAACTTAAAAAAGAAAAAAAAAATCTAATCAACACATAGAAGAAAGAAATAATTTTCGATGATTTTTTTAAGAGTGAAATATTATTAATTTTAAACAATACAAAAATGAATACTAGAATACATAATTGTTGTGTTTTACTTTAATTTTTTAATTTTGTAAAAAAATTAAAATATAACAACTCAAACAAGGAAAATTGAAATGATACAGAAAAGAATCAGTCTGGCATATTTTTATATAAAAATAATTGAACCGTCTATTTAAACAAAATGTCAATGATTCACAATTTAAAATATATTAAAATAAAAATTAAACCATATTAAAAACCGACTATACAACTTCACCCCTAAGTTTGGAAGCTAGTTACGCCGTTGTATATGGTAACATAAGAAATTACCTGAGACAACCATTGAAGACTATATGATGACCAAACAAAATTCAAACTTCCGCGCGGAAACAACCTTCCATAGAAAGAACCGGGCAAAGCCAACACGATGCACCTCGGCGTCCCTTGTCCAATGTTGTCATTAACATTGTCGAGCCTATGATAGAATTCGGGCAACATGTGAAACAAGTTTTTAAAATCATTACCGGGAAGATCATTCAAAAATACTTGGAATTCAATGTTGTCGCGATCTGAGTCACACAAGCCTCGGATTATTTCGATGACACGGGAGATGACGAGGAGGGTGTTAGGACCCGAAGAACATCCCAAATCCGCCATTGTGAAGCATTTGGAGAAGCCGGGGTCGAGTGACATCTTTTTTAGAACTTCTTCTAAAAGATGCCATGTTTTCATAATCCCGATTCTCTACATCCATATATGTATAAAGGAAGGTGATTAATTGTAATGTGTATGTAAACAAAGAGGGAAGTGGTGAACAAAATATTTAAAATTCAAAAATATTAGCATTTGAATCAAAACGAAATTTTAAATTTGGTTCGAATTGAATATTTTATAAGTTTTAAATTTTCGGATTGAAATACTAAAAATTCAAACTAATCTGAAATTTAAAATATAACTCTCTCCCGCGTAAATATAACTATTTGCTTTATATATATAAATTTTAGTATATTAGTATTTTAGAAGTAATAATACAATCAAATGAAAAGGACAAATTTTGTTTTCAAACTCATTTACTTTATAATGATTTTATTTATAATATTGTGTAAAATATAAAATTATTCTTTATTAAAGTAAAAGTATAATTACTAAAGAGTAAACATCCAAGTTGAAAATAGAGTATATTGATATATTTTATTATATATATTTAATATTTTAATTAAAATATAATGTTTAAATAAAAAACTTCGAAATTATTAATTATATTTATTTTATTTATTATATATTAATATTATCATAAAATTTAAAAATGATAAAAGAAAATTAGACTTATTATTATTATTATTATCCAATCTAGCCTCAAACGAGTATGAGATTGGCCCAGTATAATCAAGTTTACATGAACCAGGTCGCCGGACTAGCTTATAAAATAGTTTAGGTTGACCTGAAACCGTTCGACTTTTATTCCAAGTCTAATTGAACCGGGCCGGAAACTCGAGTTGTGGATACTTACTGGATTGAGAGAATTGTTGGCATAACTAAAAGCACCATTTCCTACGTTCATGTGCAGCACATTCACAACATCAACACCTTCCATTAATTCTTGATCCTCTACAAAATATCTATATATATATATATATATATATTTCTATCTTCTCACACTACCACGATAAACTCCTCTCTCTCTCTCTCTCTCTCTCTCTCTCTCTCTCTCTCTCTCTCTCTCTCTCTGTCTATATATATATATATATATGTGTTATGTGATATATGTATAAATTTGGTACAATCCTTTGATCCCATATTTATAGAGCCAGCCAACACTAAGGCAATACCGATTTACTAGATATATTTAATTTAATTGTCCAACATATATATATATATATATATTTCATATCCGGATAAAATCAAATAAGAAAAATAAATTGAGTTTGCGATTTTTTAAGAAATTTTAATAATATAGTTTATTTTTAAAATATTTGTATATTAAAAAAAATTCGGACTCCCCACCACCCCCCAAAAAAAATAAAAAATTCAACTATTACTAACATTATATATATTGTAAATATGTGTACATGATTGAATTATTTTGGATTCTGAGTTTTTACACCTAACTTGTCACACAAATATCTTTTATTTCTTCGTCTCAATGAAGAGGAGAAGGATGGATTTGTTCTTTGATTTTATTCAATGAATTTTCTACCTTGTCAAAATTACGATTTAGGTTTCTATTACATTTGTAGATTTCGAAGAAAGCTTCTTTTTACATCTTCAATTTCAAATATAAGAGAACTTAGAAGAAAATTTAGAGAGTGCTCGACTGAATGCCAGAGCCAGTCTCGACTTTCAAAGCAAAATTTGGAGATATAAGAATAATTGAACCCATGATATTACAACTATAAATCCACACTCACACCACTAAACTATATCTTTTTTAATATTTGACAAATAAGTATCAAATAAATTATATAAGATAAATATATAATAGATCTACTATTTATATTAAATCTGAGCAGAGTGTTTAAGGTTTAAATGCTAGAAAATAAAAGGAGATATAAATACTAACAAGTTACATATGACTTTAAAAGTATGTATATTCTCACCATACATAAGAAGTGAACTTTTATGAATAGAATTTTAATAAATATAATATTATATTAGTTGATAGTAAAAAAAATAAAAATATTATAAAAAGTATATGAATAAGTTAATAAGATAAAAAAAAAAAAAAAATTGAATAACTCGAATTTGTAAATATTGGTTGCATATGTATAGATAAGTAGAATATTATAAAGGTATAAATTAAGAAATATATATGAATTATTTATTATAAATAAAAGATGCATATTTTTTTGTGAACAAATAAAAAAAAAAACATATATAGATTTGATCGACATATAAGTATATATATTTGTTTTTAAAGTCAAAATTACAAATCTATTCTTAATTAATTACAATTTTTAAATTTAAAAGCTAATTGAATTTTAATCAAAACATTATTGAATAAGTAACAAAGTCCAATTTTGCAAGTGCATACTCACTCTAATTAATTATATATTAACATATTGTTGGAAGATTATATATAATACAATTATTTAATTACTTTTATCAATTTAAATTTTTAGATAAAATAATTATATAATATAGTATCAAAACAAAAAATGACGCGAATTTATACTACTAAATATATTATATTTCAAAACTAATTTTAGATACATTATAAATAGGAGTTATATTTCAAATTTCGTTTTAAATAGAAAATCTAAATATGTCATGCAATCTTCCTTAAAATTTATGACTAATAATAGCTTGCATGTTATATTTCGAAATTAATTTTAAATAAAAAGATTCGGTGTATTCATACCTTTTAATAAAATTTTATTTAGCGGAAAATTTTACATAGTCACGTATCATATGTGCTTGTAGTTATATTTCTAAATTAATTTTAAATAAACAAAATTCAAGAAATTCAAGTATGTTTATATATAACTTTTCATGAAATATTCTTACATGCCATATTTATGTAATAGTAGATTAATGCTGTCAAAATATCATATCAATATTTTACGTGTTGTATTTCAAATTTTATTTTAAGTAGAAATATCAAATATGTCCACAGTTTTCTTTGAAATCTTATAATTGCTATCAATGTAATTTATTTTTTAAAAAAAAAAATTATTGAGTTTGATTTATTTATTTATGATGATTTTATTATATATATATATATAAATACATAAATTTTGGTGTACGTATTCAAATCTAAGTTGGATTGAATTTTTTTTATAGTCGAATTAAGATATAATCAAATTTGATTTGGCTATCGAGTTTAATGATATTAGTTGACCGACTCATTGACATATCTACTTGTGTAGCTTGGCTATATTATTTATGATGGGAGATTTTGATAATAATTTTGTTATTTTAATTATATATATATATAAAATAAATCAAATAATTATTTATTTATTATATAACACTAAAATTTGATTTTATATTTAAAATAATCGTACCAACGCATATTTATATTATATCAAATAAATATTTCAATGTAAAATTTTACTGGCATTACAAATAAACACACCCCTAAGTTTCTATCAATATGTTTCCCATTTTATTTCAAATTGATTTTAATTAGAAAATTCAAACTTTTTGATGATTGTAAGTGAAATCTTATCTCCGTATATTATAAATATAGCCAAAATTGATTTTAAATAGAAAATTTAGGACTGCGGTGACCATGATGATCGGTCAAACCAACTATAAATGGCAAATGCATATTTGCATATAATACAACATAATGCTGCATCATATACAGAAGTATGTGTTCTATAGATTATATATTTTACTTTCTCCGTCCTCTCTAATTTGTCTTATTTAACTTAGACACGAAGTTTTACATATTGTGCAATTAATAAGCAATTAAAAAATATATTAGTAAAAATAATTATAGATTAAAATTAAGATGACTAAATAGTTTAATTAAAATAAAAAAGAAATTATAAAGTATGAATTTTAAGATATGATTAAAGTGTATAATTATATTTCCAAAAAAATAAAATGACAAATTATGTGGGATAGATGAAAAAAAAAAAAAAAAAAAGTAGACAAATTGAGTGGAACTGAAATTAATAATATATATCATACTATATCATATGTCATCAAAATATAAATGGTATATATATATATATATTTTTTTAATGACGTGGGAATCCGCAACCGCTATCCGAAAGTGCGCACTGAGTAAACCTCTGGCCGAATCTAATACCTTGCAAACTAAGCCAGACATGCAAGTCATGCTAAGCGAACCATGTGTGGCAGGTGACCTGAGGCATCGAGGGTTTGAACCCATGACTTCACGATTACAAGTCCAACCCCCAATTAACACTGAATTTGTATGTGACATCGAGCATGTGTCGTCTATCTTGTATGTACATATCAAGTCAACACTAAACTTATTTGACCCAATTAACATACTAACCGAAGCAGAAATTTCAAATATATCCATAAATTTCAGTGAAATATTACATTGAATTAATGTTTGTCCCCGTGGGTATTCCTTTTTGTGATTAATTTTAGATTTTAATTTTGAATCATAAGTTTGAACATGATAAAGTTGTCAATGAGTTTCCATAAAATATCAATTAAAGTTGTCATAATATCCTATCAATAGCTTTATATTGCAAAATAATTTTAAATAGGAAATCCCAATATGCTTATATTTTTTTAGTAAAATCTTATCTAGAGCAGAGCTATATATTTTATCTAAAGGATATTTTTTTAAAAAAATCTTTATTTAATTAAATATTCAAATCAACATATTTAAGTTGAAATATACACACATTTTTAGAATGTTCGTAACTAAATTTTAGTAAATTTCACATATACTTAAGGTTTAATTGTTTGATTTTGATATGAGTTTGAATTTTTTTTACTTGAATTTTAAAAAATATATATATATTTATTAAGAATCTGGCATAATAAATAATATTGATTTGCATGGGTTCAAAATAAGAAACAAACCAACCCTCAAAATCATGCCTAAGCAAAGGCAAAAGAAGTTTGACAATTTTCTACAATGATCTATATATAATAAAATTAAAATTTCGAGAATGAATAAATTAAGGGCAAGCAAAAATATATTGAAACTTAAATAGATGCAATCTTAGTATGGTTTTTAAACATTCGATCAAGTATATATGTAAGTCATTTTTTTGCTTTTCGACTCAAACAAAGCATCATAATAAAGTAGACGGGATCCTCTTTGGATAGATACTCAGCTAGTTTCATTCCATACCTTTTGTATAATTCGTCCACAATTGCATCTCCAAAATGGTTTGCGACAACCGGTTCAGTATAAGCCCTAATGAAAATCGACACTTGTTCTCCTAATGTGTATGTATCCACTTTGTCATACCGATTTCCACAACCATCCCGGACATGTTCATCCCAATAAACTTGAAAACCCTCGAGTTTTTCTAAATTAAATGAACCCTCGATCAAGATCAGTTCTTCCACTTCTTGTGTGGTCGGTGTGTATATAGGCAAGTTGAATGAATACAACTCGGCCTCCTTCACAAGCCCCTGTATCAAGCCAAAAATGAAAACTTGGAATTTGATATATGTTTAAGCTAAATTTATTTTAAGGCAAAATTATTCATAATTTATATGTAGTTTTGAAACACAGCGTAAATTATCCATCTACTTTATATATTGTATGACGTCCCATTATACTTTTAAAAATATTGTATGAAATGTCTTTTTACATTTTTTGTGTGATGAGAATGTGATTTCAGCTATATTTTTTGTATGACGAACATTCATATAATATTCTAAAAGTATAAGGTGTATCAGGCAATTTTTAAAATATATGAAAATTTTAAGCTGAATTTGAAAATCAGATAGGAGTTATGGACAATTTGGCTTAAATTTAATTATCTCATTAAAAAAAACTTTAGCAACTTTTTTTCAAAAAATAAATTAAATTAAATTGAACTACATGAAACTCAAACAATTGAAGCTCACCTTAGCTTTACTAAGAGCTTTGGCTTCTAAAAGCTAATGAATTGTATTCTTACAAAGATGTATTGAATTTTTAACTATTTAATTATAATTTGAAGATCTAAATATTCTTACCTCATTAGCCATATCAACAAGTGTATTTGCAAGAATGGTAAAATGCATGCACTCTTCGTGTAATGAGATATCTTCGACCGTTCTTCCCACAAAAGTCAAAACCATGTAACCTCCGGGCATCATTTCTTCACTCCGCGATATGAGAAACGTCATGAAATCTCTCTTGTATTGCCTTGCATATGCGTCGATTACCTCTTGGGGACTCGTCATAGACATGTGAATGTTATTTCTATTGCTCTCCAATCTTTCCGGAACCTATAACAATTACCAACAAGATTTCACAAAAATGCAACATGGTAAATTAATTGAGTTACCATCATTTGAAAATAAACTTTCAAAAATAATAATATTTTTGAAGTCCCTTCAAAATTTTGGAGATGGGTATAGATTTCTCCTCTGTCACTTAACAATCTATCCATTTTTTTATTTTTGTCCATCTCATAACAAAGTATTCTTTTCCTTTTTTTTTTAATAATTGTACTATTTACTTAATATTATAAATACCCTTTCAATTTACAATATATTACACAAATGTCATTACTTTTATTTCTACTTTATCCCAATATAATACTAATATTTCTAAAACTCCGTGCAAAAAGTAAATTGATATATAGATATGAGATGGAGGGAGTATATAATATATATCATATTGATAAAAACTTTGGGTTTGTTTGTTTAGTTTTTTCATTTGAAGAATTCTTTTTATGTGATGTATAGAGAATGATGTCGCTAATATAAAAAATAATATTTTATATTAAATGTTGATTTTTGTAAAAATATATATATTGAAAATCGTATCGAACAAAATTTCTTAGGCAAACAAACCCTTTATTAATTGTTGCTTTATATATTATTGGATATATTGTCTATAGATGTCAATCGGTTTCACACCTATTTGATGTTGCATAAATTTGATTATATCAACTATGATCTCTTCATTCATATGTTTATTGCAGCTTCACGACATACTAAATACACAAGTATAAAATATTGATTTATAATATACAAAACATTTGAATTTTAATCAATTTGAACCTAATAATTTTAGAGGTTTATATTTTGGTTTGTGTTTTGGTTTATATTTTGGTTTGTATAATAATTCGATCTGATATTTAATTAAAATAAAATAAAATAAAGTATTTTATTTTTAATGTACAATGGCATAGTAACAAAAAAAAATGCTAAAAAGTTAGTCTTTGTGATTTATTATTTTTAAAAAAAATGAATTAAATGTAATTTCTAAGCAAAAATAATATATTTTTATAGAAAGTTTTGAAAATTATAATAGAAAAGTTCAAAGTAAAAAGAGAAAAGTGTTCATTGTTATTATTATTATTATTATAAATCTCATAATGTAGTAGAATTTAATAACTCTGCTTTTATAGAGTAGATGGCAATATACTATACAAGTCTATTTTTAATAAAATCTGATCGTTAATAATAAATTTATTAAATTTATGGAAGAATGTTAATTACCTAAAGCTTCTCTAAAAGCAGCTCTTCTTTTCTTTTCCTTTGTTTTTTCCAAAAAAAAAAAAAAAAAACTTTAAAACACATACATTTGTCTCACAAACGGTTCTTTTATTATGTAAAAGCAACACTCGAAATTAAGTATATATGATTGAAACTAACTATTAGTTAAATGTGTTGCTCAATCTAAAGTTTAACTATAGATAAAAAATTAAGTTGAGAAAATATTTGAATTGAATTTTGTATTTAAATAATATTTGATTTGATATTTTATAAAAATATATATATATATATAACTATAAATACAGCGTAGAAAACACAAACACAAACATAAATATAAGCAATTAAGCATAAACACATATATAAAAGTTAAAAGGTTTGATTTTTGATAGGGTTTCATGAGTTTTGATTCAAGTAGTTAAGTGGTAGATTGATAGTCTAAAGTTGTATTGTCTACAATTTAGTAGATATATTTTGGATGATAATAGTATAGTATATATATTAGACCTAAATTGCTATCTCTAGCATAGAATTATAGATAATTTGAAATAGGTTAATATACAATGATCAACCAAGCAATATAATAATTTTCAAAGTTAATTAAACAAATTAAATTACCTGAGACAACCATTGAAGGCTATAAGAAGACCAAACAAAATTCATACTCTCGCGAGGAAACAATCTTCCGTAGAAAGAACCGGGCAAACCCGACACAAAGCACCTCGTCCCTCGGCCCATGTTGTCCTTAGAATTGTCGAGTTTATGGTAGAAGTCGGGCAACATGCTAAAGAGGTTGTTGAAGTCATTGTCGGGAAGATCATTCAAGAACACTTGAAACTCGATGGAGTCGACACATAGGGCTCGGATGATTTCGATGACACGGGAGGTGACGAGGAGGGTGTTGGGCCCCGACGAACATCCCAAGTCTGCCATTCTAAATAAGCACTTGGAGAAGCCAGGGTCGAGTGACACCATTTTTAGGGTTTCCTCTAGAATGTGCCATGTTTTCAAGATCCCAAGCTTCTGCGTCCATCCATTTGTTAATAATTTGTATCATGTGTGTAAAGACAGATGATCAATGATGTGTACATATATATATATATATATAGATAGATAGAGAGAGAGAGAGAGAGAGAGAGGATGACCTGATTGAGAGAATTGGTGGCATAGCTAGAAGAACCATTTCCTATGTTCATATGCAGATTCATAACACCGCCTGTCATTCTTGATCTACAATTTATGTTTCTTTTTCTATCTTCTCACACTACCACAAGATAACTCTCTTTCTCTATATATAAGAAATCTGATATATATATATATATATATATTCAAATTTTGCAGCTCATACATATCAATATCATATACACTCACAGTACATAGCAATTAATTAATTAATTGTATAATTTACTGGTTATTATTATTATTATTATTATTATTATTATTATTATTATTTGATTCTTATTTTCATTTGAATTTATTCATTAATAAATATGCATTATCTCTCTCTCTCCCACAGAAACGAACAAAGCTTACCCAATGCGGCAATGCTCAATAAAATGAAGTAATTAAAGTAGGTATGTTTGTTTGGGGGTTTGGATTTTGAGTTGGAATTTGAATAGTAAAAATTTTGAATTTGAATAGTTGTATGATGTGATATAGATGTGATATAAATAGGTGATGATGTGATGTTTTGAATGTAAAATTGATTTTTAGTATAATTTAAAAAATAAAAAATAGGTGTTTGATTTGATGTTTTTGAAGGGAAAATTTTGGATGAATAGTGAGATTTGGACCAAATCTCTCAACCGAACACACGTGATGGCTATTGGATTTAACCTATTGGCTTTTGTTAGATACGTGCAACAACACCACATCTAATCTAATGTTGTTGGCTAGCTAAATTTTAGGATTGAAAATTAATTCAACCTAAACTCTACTAATCTGTTTACTTGGCCACTATTTTAAAGAAAAATATATTATTTTATTTTACAAAACAAGTCACTATTTAAATAAAAAGTAAAATCTCAAGTAAACAACCCACAATTCTTTAGTTGCATTGGTTTTTACCTAGCTAACTAACACGTATATAAATTAATTGAAAATTAAAATTGCCGGCTTCCTAATAGTGGAAGCAATAAACTGTGTTAAAAATATGGACTATATAATAAATCAATCAATCAAAACTCATTCAAGATTACTTGTATAAAATTAAATTTAATATATGAATAGCACTGATTATGTCATAAACAGATATATTTGTTCAAATGACAGCCATACATATATATATATATATATTTATACTGTTGGATCAACAGAAAATTTAAAGATCAAATCTTGAAATAAGAATTCAACATAGCCTCCTCAGAAATGATAATCATCTTAAATTTGGTTCCATGCCAATAGCCGGCCAGTGACACAAGTATTAGGAGTATTCTATTTGCAAATTTCATGCAATGAGTACAAACACATAACCATCGATTCAATTACAATATTTAAAAGATTGCATTAAAAATCTATTTCTATACAAAACATCAAATCACATACTTATTTACATTAGATCAAATACCTATTATTTATTTAATTTTTTACTATTCCCATAAATCTCCAAAACTCCACTAGATTTGTTCACCCAATAATTTTTTAATGACACAATTTTAGACAAATATTAATAAAAAAATATAATATATATAGACATCCACATAATTTAAATAATATATATTATATTCTCTCACAAAAAGTCACTAATTTAACACAAATTATTATTTTTCTATTTTATGTTCAATTCTATATACCTAACATAAAAATAAAAATAAAAAAAGAAAAAAAAATACTTCAAACTAAGACATTAAACAAACAAACTTATAGTTTTGTCTTTCATATATGGTCGATATTGTCGTATAAATTTCTACGAGCATATTTTGATCGCATATTATCCCAAAATTGAGAGATCAAATGACTAGAAGTTCTCAGTGTGAAAAGTATCTTATGATACTTTATAAAAATTAAAATACTGCCTTGCAAAATTACAAGACAAACATAATAATCATATAGCACATGCATATGTATATATATCAAATCATTACAATTTTTAATGCTAACAGATGGTTTTGAAAAATGAAGGGAGTTATTACCAAACTAAGATTATTTTATGGAAAAGATTCAGCCATATTAAGCATAAGACATCTCATATAGCACAACCAACACCACATTTACATATTATTTACCTAGAAATTCAATTTGAGTGGAATTTTACCTGCATATTTTAATAAAATTCATTCAAAAAAATATATCCATAACTTAAACTCAAATACTTGATAAGATTAATTGAACAACAAACCTCTCCATTTGCATGATTTGTGTTCAGTTAATCTCCCACAGAATCATACCTTCAAATTTCTCAAGGGCTCGTACACAGGGGATTGTATAAGGGCAATTGCACACATGTCCCGGAGGTTTTAAAGCGAGGCATGCAATATCGCCGGTTTGGAAGATATTGCAGACAATGTCTCAAAAAGCGACGATATTGAGGTCAAAGCCATATCCAGCATTTCCGGCGAGCAACCTGGCCTTGTAATTTTCTTCACCTGCAAAAGAACATGCAGTAGACCTAAGCATTAGCAAAATGTTTTAATTAGTATTTGATTGATTGTAAATTTGTAATATCTATCTTAACTGTCGGATCAATTTTTAATAAGTATATATTCAAAGGGAATTATGGGGACTTATGATAAATTTTTGTTTACCGTTGTTTTCTATGATTTAATCACTCAATTTTCGTAAAAGGAACATCACAGTCAATCATTATTTCACCTCCAAACTAACAAAACCAATAGTCACAAATGGTGAAAAAATGTAAACAAACTTCTTAGTAATAATGTATACATTTGTGTATAATACAATGCTTCGTACCAAAATGAAGAATCTTGTTGTGAACACTTTTAACTTGTTCTCCTTACCTCTTCTCAATCTCTATTATCTCCCTCTACATTTCTAAATACCTCTATTTTCTAATTCTATTCAAGAGTTATATGTATTTCATTACATTAAGTGATAACATGCATACATACCTGGCTGACGTAAATCTGAAACTGCTTAAACCGTTCGATGTAATCTTGATCAATTAAGCTACAATGCTGTTCATTATTATTAAGCAGTAGCATTTTGTTGGACTGTATGCATTCATTCATATCTTTTCCAATCTTTGTCGAGCCCATGCAGTTAGAAAAAAGCAAGAATACTGAAAAACAAAAAGAAAGAAAAATCAGCCACAAATCAACAGACATTAGTGAACACAAAAAACGCAATTGATATAGCTGCGGGAAACACCACCCAACTACAGCCTGACTCCCTAACTTAACTTTCTTTGTTTGCACCGAAAACCCTCTCTGTTCTTTTTGCTCCCGAAATCTCTCTTTAAATTCAAATGCCATTCACAACAAAACATCTAAACTATTACATGAACAATTATAATTAGGTGAAAAAAAACATCATAGGATTGAATCCAGCAAGAACATCACATATGCCTCATCACAGTCTAAAGTCGTAAAATTGAACATATATTTCTGCATATTTTAGGCATCTAGTATTCAGATTCAGCTTAAGATGCACCCTCTTGAGTAAGAAGTGAAAACGAGGAGTATACTAGCAAGGAGCTAGTGCCTCTGCAAACAAGTATAGACTCGACAATAAATAGAGCACTCTTTGAATCGGTTATAGAAAAACTATAGCCAAAAAGAAAGTTCCTTGCCACCCTGAGCACTGTGCTTGGCAAGAAATTCTGCAAGATGTAAAATCAAGTTGCCATTTTTTCTACTTAAACATTTTCTTCAAAGAATTGGCAGGTATTATTTATATGCTCTTAAGATAATATCTATATTGTCTCATCCCAGATAAATGTGTTAGCACACAAAGAAACAATAAACCAGAAAGTTGCACTTTTGCCACTTAGTCAACGATTTAAAAACCCAAACCTAAGTAATCCACCAAATATAGACGATCAAAACTGCACAAAATAATATTATATTGATATACATAGCACTTCACTCGTATCTACGTTCTGCATATGCAAATCAAAATCTTAGAGCTGTTCCACTGGCAAAATCACCAACGGAGGCTGCAAACTCTTGAGAATAATTATATCAAATAAAAGCGTCCAATGCAAACTAGAAAAAGAATTACACAATTTATGATAGGAGTTGTGACTCAAAAGTTCAAAATAAATAAATGAATAAGTTTCCAAATAGATGGCTCAAATGATGATGCAATAAAAGAAAAAATGAGCACAAAAAGAGAATGGTTTCAGGAAAGCAACACCCAAACAACCATGTTCGAGGGCATTGACAGCTATGTTTGGTGCAAGGGACAGCAGACAAATGCCAGGCAGGCTCCATTAACGATGTATGTAGAGATCAATTCAGATTCTAGTCATTCAATATAAAGCACTATGAAGAAAATTTAAGTTGGAAGTCCATAGAAACCAGTAAATGTGATCTAACACAAGAAAGTTAATGTGAGAAAACTCCACTGATGTTCAAGTGTTAAACACCAAAAACGAACCCGAGAGAGACTCCATACATGCACTTGTTAAGTCCTCTTCATTTAAGCTCGGTAACCCCCCTGTCCACTCTCCAAATCTCTAGAGAAAATCATTCAAGAAGGCTCATCTAAGCAAATAACTTCATTTATAAACACAAACTACGTAGTGATATGGCTGCAACAGTGGATTGGAGCTATCAAATTCAACAACCACTTCTTCCAAATCGTAATTTTGTTAAATTTGATGGTTAGCCTGGACCGAAAGATGGAAGCAAAATGAGAAATAAGAAGCTCTCTTATCTACCTATATCCATAGACGAAGTATATTGCCCAAATAGGCGATAACTCTTCCATTTATCTTAACAAGTAGCCATTATAAAAGGTTGCTTTGGATCCAAAACCTCAATTATCAAAAACCATTAATCTCTTGCTTAAATATACACTACAAGCATCAAATTAATCATATGTTATATATAATTCTTTCAAAACTTCCACATAAACCAATGCTATGATACCGCTTAATTCCAACAAGTCAGACACAAACACAAACTTAAAGCATACAAAACAAGAGGAGTGAGTGTAACTGTGTAAGTGAAGCAGCAGTAGCAGATTGAAACAATTACTTGGGATTCAGCAGGCTGGCACTCGAATTGGCGCGATTTGTTGATTAATTATAGAGTAGTGAAACGATTACTTGATTGCGCAGGGCACAAGCAGAAGCTGATGCACACTCGGCGTTGCCTTGCCACTGCCTGCAGAATGGGAACCGCAAGTTGAGTTGGGATATTTGTATCTATGTGAACTACTTTCAATGAATTTTGGTCTGTCTAGCTGCGTGTTTTTTTAGTATTATTTTTTTTAAACGAAGCAGCGGTGAGATGAGATATTTTAATTAAAAAATAATAAATATTAATAATAATAATAATAATGGGTCTACTTTGGTTTATATTTTCTAGATTTTACAGTAATATTTATCATTAATTTTAGGCAGAACAATGATTAAATGTGAGATATATGATTATAATTTTTATTGATAAAATTATACTTTCTTCTTCGTTCCAAAATTAAAATTATAGTATTAGTTGCATTGGACACGGATAAAAAATATACCTAAAATAATTAATTGCGTTGGACACGGATAAAAAATATACCTAAAATAAGGGTAATTTTATAGCAAGTTATTTATATTTATGAAATAAGACTATTATTTTATAACGGATGGAATAATATCTTTATATTTTAATAAATTATATAATTATACTATAAAATAATCCATTATTTATTGAATAAGTATTAATTTTATCTAAAATATCTTAATTATATGATAAAAACTAATAAAAAGTTATATATCAATAAAAGAAATTAAGTAATTTTTTAATATCACCTGTAAAAAAGAATCACCCTAATAATCGATAAGTAAACACACCATATTTATTATTTATTGTTTAATCGAATATATTTTTATTGAAATGACGAAAATATAATGTAAAAAAAATACACTTAAAAAAATATAAAAGGAACTATCAAATATTACCTCTGTCCTATAAAACTATATGAATCTTTTTATCATTTATTTGTACCATATGAATATATTTAAATTTCTACACTCAAAATACTCCCTCCATCGCTCGGAGCACCATTTTTAATATTTTCTTTTATTCCATTCAAAAACATCTTTTTTCTAATATAATAACAATATTTTATATAGAAATACCAAAATATTCTACTATTATATAAACATTATTACTTTATTTGTACAAAATGTCAAATGGGATGGAGGGAGTACCTTTTTTAAGATAATAATAATAAGCGACTATCGTATCCTGTGTTAATCGAAAACACCACTAAAAGTAACAAGCCCTATATTTTACTTACCAGCATATGGAAACACACAAATGAAATGCAAATGCAACACAACATGAAAGGATCAACAAAGAACAAACCACCGACACAACACATATTCATTCCCAGGGCATTGATTATAAATAACATCTTACATCCTATTTTTTCTCTTACTCATAATGAATTTCATTTTGTTTCAATTACCAGACAACACTGCTCCCTCTCCGAACACGAACTGCCGGGTAGCTCCGAACAGGTTCGATAATTCCAAGATGACTGTCTTGCACGTGGAGCTCTTTGGCGACACAGCTTCTGGGAGTAGAGGGGCGCACTCAGGTTGGAATTCTGTCTTGCCCGAAGATGAGGAATACAGAGAAAGTATTGCTCGGCAGAATATAAATCTGCAGCAGCCAAACAAATGAGAAGATCAACCTCATAGTATTCAACGATATTGAAAAAAAAAAAAAGATTTCATGGTCAATATCTTTGCATCTCCATCATTGGCACAACATAATCAACCACGCTTTGAGGTATATCTTAGCAATTCAAGTATTTGGTTTAAACATCTAATCATCACTTATACAAAACCAACAAAAATAAAATTGCATAAATATTAATAATCCAGCATAATTATTATAGCTTATTCATGTCAAGTATTCATACTCACAAATCATATACCCAACTATCTATAATGTTACAGTCAATCACATTTGTTTATTTTGTATACAACACAATAATGTACATTAAATCAATTTATTTCACACAGACAGGGGAAAGAAGCAGAACATAAATTACTATGCATTTGTAAATAATAATAATAATAATAATAAGTGCAACAAAAAGGATATGAATTTGCAGAGTGAGGCAAATTTGTACTTTTAGACTCTTTCATTTGTCAAACTTTTAGGCCATATAAATTTTGCCAGATCATGGTACTAAAATATATATATAGGTACTTCCTGCACGACCATGAGGGCAGATGTTCATAAAGGTTCTGGGACTAGAATGTAGATTAGTTGAATTATAAGATGGTAGAAACCTTAAAAGGAGTCGCCTCAAGAACGGATCGGTTAAAATTTGTGCCCATGTAGGATCAAGGTCATCAGCGGCAGCCAATAATGACCCCAATTTGTTGAATGAGGACAAAAGCAGCTTCTCAGCTTCTTTGTACAGATCCTGAAACCACAGGAGCCAGTAAGATGGGATAGATTTACAGGATTGCTGGGAGACGCAGAAGTAGCAACCATAACTACCTTTTCAATATCCGATCCAGTGAACCCCAGCAAGAGAATGAATGTCTGCAGAGGAGCCGTAAGAAAGCTCGTAAACAAACTTCCACTGGGTTGGCGAGAGGATTCTACAGAAGGAAATGGTAGTGGCACGGTTGGAGATAGCAGCATCGCAACAGGTTCTCCTTTTTCAGTGCCGCTTAGAACCTGCTCTGGCATGATCCTTTAGTTACTTTCACAGTGTGTAAACGTCAAATCTCAAAATAAAGATGTTCTAATGTGCTTATAAATGAAGATAAAAATACAATCCATTTCCAAGTCATGGAATTCTTTTTCAAATTGTGATATGCATACATTGAAACCAAATTTCCTGCAATCAAGTAAGGTCAACATACCCACCTTGTGGGTGTCTTAATTTGAAAGCTCAAAGAAAATTTGTCAATTTATTTAGTAGTTAAAGGAGCAAAGCTAATCTCTTGAGCAATTTAATTGCTTAGGGACCTTGATTGTATGAGGGCAGATACAATTAACCTAAATTGTCAGATAAATAATTCAATGCCATTACTGGAATCAAAATTTCCATCTAAATTATCATCTTGGCTTATTCATCCATCTTGCAAAGTAAACATGAACTTTGAGTCAAAACACTGGTAAAACCTACGAGATATGTTCCTCAATTAGCATTGTTGTACCTAAAATGTTCATATAGAAGCTATTGGCAATTAATTGCATGAGATAAAGAATAAAACCCATTTTGACAATCCCATGCCAGATCTCAATTAATTTGCTACAGATTGAGAAATATGCATGACCAATAGGAATCCTTGACTATGAAATTATAAGAACTCAGCTTCAACACAGCATTATTGCTGAGTTTGCAGGAATTCAAATGCTTAAGTTCCATTTGGATATAAATTTTGTACGGTATTTGATATGTGGGTGCCGAACCAACAAGCATATAAAACTATTTCTTGAATTGCCACTTCCAGAAGAATTTTAAAACCTTCCTACAAAAACTTGGAACCTCTAAACCCCCAGGAGGAATTCAGATAAATCCAAATCCAACTTGAACAGGAATGGTTTTCAACCAAACTACGATGCCAAGGTATGTACCAGAGACCAATGCAGATAGAATTCCCTTTGGAATGTCTATATGACTTCAATATGGATAAGAGCAAGTTTCTTCAGTTCATTTGAAAAACACAAGCATTCATGAAATCCATAGAGTCCACCACACCATTGAGTGATGAAATAGATAAAGGCTGGCATTGTCGTGACCCATATCAGGCTGGTGATGCAAAAAGTAGCAATTCCACATGAGTATGCTAATGTGTAAGACTAACCTTGAATGCTTTACTATTTTCGCTGTCAACAACCAAATATAGGGGCCGCCTTGTGAATGGCAGCAAATCAGATGGATATAGGCAATTTATACCTGAAGTATGAGATAAGTATCACAATTCACATCATGCTGCATAGTTAAAATCTTAAAATTATAAGCCTGATAACTAGAGTCTGTTTCTGGGGGCCTACAACTAGAAACACAAGATTCAGAAAAATAAATTAACAGTTATTAAGGTAAAATATCAAGCAGTTAAAACTGGAAACAAGATACACGTGATACATATATAATATGTCCCACCAAAACTTTGGGTTTGTTTGCTTGAGGATTGGTTTTATGTATTTGTTTTGCTTTGCATAGTAGTTTGGATATAATATTTTTTAAGAGGAAATGGTGCACTTTTATAGGAAATCATAAATGTTGCATAGTTAATAAACTGAAACTAAACTCCAAGTAAACAAATCCTCAGAAACTATCGGAAAAATCAGATCAACAAGAAGAAGTGTGTGCATTTCTCATTATTCAGCACAACAAAAATATTATGATATGCACATATAGATAGGTATGACACAAGGTTAGTGTTTCATAACTAGAAATTTTGTTTGTTTAGTTGTGTTTTGATATACTAAAATAGTAATCTGGAATAGTTATTTGATGTGATATAAATATGTATTCGATGTGATAGTTTTTCTTTTTTGGGGTAGGGCAAATCTATCATAAGGAAATCACAACAGCAACTAAAAATCCTAAGTTGGAGTTTAAGTTAGAAGTTGGATAATGAGATTTTATTTTATTGCAGGTTGGGTTATGATGGAGTAGTATATATTAATTAAAAATAAACTTAAAATCTCTTTTAAATAATAAATTATATTCAATGTGAATGTTATATTATGGAGAATAAAATTTTATATAATACAAATAAATATAAAAAGTATATATATTTATACATAATTAACTTAAATTAGTCTATAAAGTTTAAGGATTTTAAATGTATATAAATATATTGGTGTATTTTGAAGAGAGATAGAAATGGAAGATTACAAGTGGATCCCACTTTCAAAAGTTTTAAGGAAATAGTTGAGATAAAAGAAGTTGTGAGCACAGTGCCAACCGAAAACCAGACCCTCGGTCAGTTGAAAAAAAACCTCCAATCCTCATTAGAAAAAATACTGGAAAGTTTTTATTTAAAGTTAGGGTCATGGACTTCAAGGAATTAAAAATAAATTAATAAATTGCTCTTAAATAGTAAAGATGATGTAGACTTTGGAGACGTTGAACAAAATAAAAAGGTGAACAGTAGAGATGCTTTGCTAGATTTAAGCATAAAAAATTCAATATGGGGCAGAATACTATTTAACTAATACCTCCATGTCCACGGGGCCCAATTTGTAAGCAATCAGCTGCATGACCTGAATGATCTGGGGCATCAGATCCAGAGATAATGGGAACAGTAGAGCTCGAGTCAGGGTTGATGGAATGAAACTGAAAGCTCCTGGTGATGCTCTCGGTATAACTAATTGAACTTCCAGCATAGGGAGATGGCATTGTGTGTTCCCTGTTTCCTGGAACAAATTAATCGAGTTTATAATGTTTGTATTATTGAAATAAAATCTTGTTTAGAGATACATCTAACATATCATAAAACCCGGTTCGGTTACCTGAAACTGAAAGGTATATTAAGAGAACCCCATCAGGAGGAAGTTCCTCACACACAGTCCCTAAAACCTGAAAAACATGTAACATCCTAATATAAAAGATTATGATGAATCCTTGTAAAAATGATTGTTTTAAATTTTGGCTAATAACACTATTGGGAATCTTAACATATCAGAAGAGGATCTTCCTCACTTGATAAAGCTATAATTGAAGTGGGTACAAATTTAATAGAGCACTTTGTGTTTCTAACAGAGATCAAATCTCAGACAAATTAAATGAATAGAGCACAGAATTGTAAATATGTAATGTTAAAGAACCTCAACTTTGAATTGTTTGCCTGTGGTCGGAAAAAACATTGAAAGCTTTCATACGGTTTGATCATTTAGAAACGCAACAATAGTTAGCAACTAAGGTCCACCTTAGCTCATCCTTCTATTCTCTAATTAATGCAGTTCTATGATGGAAGAGAAAAAGAAGGGCGATGGGAAAACCTCTTCATGGCAATATTTACTGCCATGTAACAGTTAAACATAATACTTATGTTCTCTAATTAATGCATGTTGGGGCAGAACATAAAAAGAATGACAACAAAAATTCTTGATAGTAATACTTACTGCCATATAATGGGTAACTGACGGCCGAAATAAAATAGCTTTCCGAGGATTGGGTGGCAAAGTAGGATCAGTTATATCTTGATTCACACGACTTGGCCCTGAGGCTCCATTTTGACTGGCACCAGATACAGGTCCACTTGACGGACCCATGCTTTCCTGGTAAAATGAACCGCTGGGTTCCCATTCTAAACATTGTAACATCCTAAAAGTGTCGAGAGTGAGCTCAGAGAACTTGACCTGGTTAAAAAAAAAAAGTTAATTGTGTGTAAATCAATATCATACCTAGGAAGAAAGAAGCATGTTGAAGAAAAAAATTTCAAAAGAACTTTCACGTGTTGGCACAATAGAGAAAGACAAACACAAACCTCATTAGGATGGTAACTGCACAATAAAGCATCTCTTAATCTTAACTTTCTCTTTGCACTTGTAAGTTGTGGAAGACAATCTGGGTGAAGATCCAAAACCACGCTATACCTCAAAGGCCTGATATTCATAAAAGTTGTGTCAGCTTTCAGGAATTTAACTATTTCCTGTATCACGAGCTTCCATTCTTTAAAGTCAGTTTCCTGGAAACATAGCACGGTATCCAGTTAATATTTCTCAGAGATCAACAAGTCAATCACCAAAGTAAAGAAAACTGTGCCTCATAAAATCGAGGTAGGTACACACTAAACAGCTCCCACTAAACTGTACCATGGCATAAGAATCACAGTGAAGATGATATGCAAGAACTAACAATTTCAGTTTATATGTCAACCTTAATAAAAATACCAACATAAACACTATGCAGCTTCTGGATTCAGAAATACAAAAGCAGATGCATCCAGTGAAAGAAAAAAAGTGTACTATCTATTCCAAATCTGCTTGATAACATTGGGAAAGCAAGCCATTTATGTATAGGTATTGATCCCTCACATATAGTAGCATGCATGGTCCTCAATTTTTCCATCCTAATAAATAAAGCAATGTGCCATTGGAACATAATACATCTGGACACTAAACAAATGCACAGCACGCTCCTACACTCACATGTATTATATTAAAAAATGGCAGCAAACTTACCTAGTGATATTCTACTCCAAAATCAGTTTCCCAATTAAAAATACCTATAAGTAAAGATAAATAACTAATCATCGATCAAGAAAATGACCTGGAAGGTTCTTTTGCATTCATCAAGTAACATTTTGAGTTGATTCACCAACTGATAAGCCATTTCACGCCGGTTCAAGACCAAACAAACGGTCAGAAAGCGAGCAATAAGCCTCAACTGCTTAGTGGCAAGACTCAAATCCTGATGCAGCCCATCCTTAAAATACTCTCTTGTCAGGATTGCCTCATAAAATATATAAGATTCCGACAAATAGGTGGCCTCACTAGTCCTCATGTACTGTCCAAAATAAAGCTGCCCAATACGGGAGGCAATCTCCCCGATCTCCCACCTCTTTAACCCAGCATCCACCAATTTCTGCCGATTCTCTTGCTGAAACTTCCAAAGTTGGGTATAGACCTTAAAGACTTTATAGAAGTATGTATCATATCTGGAAATCATCAAAAGAAATATCACACTAGTTTCATTTTTGTACACCATTACTCAATATCAAACACGAACATTTGGGGTATCGGTTCTCACTGCCAAATGATAGACAGCATAAATTCAAGATCACGGAAAAAAACACAACCATAGCTAGATGCTCCTATAATCAGTATAACTCAACCAGTTCAACACCATCATCTTCAATTAATTGAAAAATACTACAAAGAATCTGTAGTGCAAAATCGTCACCCAGCATACAAAATCAACTCTCTACAAAACCTGCTTTAAAAAATTCAGTTCATAGCAAATTAAATGTATACGAATTGCAAAAATCCTCATAAGATCGGTTAACTGTTCACTCCAGACCAAGATTTTGATATCACTAAATATCAGAAGCATATAAACACTCCCCCTGAGGACAAGAATCGGTGTAAAAGCGACAATCCATAGCAAGGACATGTGTACAATTCGAAGTAAACGAGGCAGCACTTCCCGCTACAAATTCCCCTAACTGACAATGAAAATTGAAGCAAACAAACTGATTACGAATCGCAACAATTTGCCTACGGCTTTGACAATAAGGCAGATCCAATATCAATTGCAAACTCCACCCTAACTACCACAATCAACTAAAACCCACCCAAACCAACAATTACATTACGCGGCAATCTGAGAGGATCGATTACCTAGTGCGTTGATAGTACGGCAAGTCCCGGATCTTGGAGAACTTCTTGTCGGCCTTGGCCACCAGCGCCCAGTAGACCTCGTGCACTGGAATACCGGCGTTGCCACTCTGCAGCTGATTCTGCGACATTTAGTTCGTCGGAGCAGTGCGAATCACCCGTCAATCACACCATGTCGGCATCCGCATCCGCTGCTTGGCCGAATCTGGACAAACAAGCAGCAGCTGAGCCGAGCCGAGCCGAGCCACTCGACGACAAGACTCTGGGCAAAATTGGGGGTGAAGGAGGAGAATGAAAAATAGAAAACTGTGGACAAGAAAAGAGTAATTAGAGAAAGCGGGGAAGTGTGGGTGCGTTGGTTTAATGTTTAATAAGATGTTGTTTGGAGTTACCGTATAGTATTTAATCAAAAATGAAATTAAAGTTACGTTTTAAATAATTTACGTTTTAATAAATAAAGAATAATATAAATTAATTTTAATTATATACGACATATTATAATATAAACAAATAGTATCAATTAAATAAAAAAAAAACAAATTACTTCAACTTTTAACCATAAATTAAACCATTAAGATTTATTATTTTTTTCTTATAAGACAATTATATTATATGATATCGAAGTATTTGACATATGAGTTATATATTGAGTTATACTTTATAATCTATTTATTGACCTAAAATCATAATATATGCTATTAAAATTATTACATATATTGTCCCGTAAATGATGGTCCGGTGATTTAAAAGTTGGACGTGTAAAGAATCATGTCGATAATATAGAAAAATAATATTTTTGTATTAAATGGTTAAATTTTGCAATAAATTTTGTATATTTTAGAAATTATGTTAGATAAAAATATGGTTGAATTAACAAAGCCATCACCTTAATATAAGTTACAATTTTTATTAATAAATATCTATCCGGTGTGAATTACAAGTATTATTCTCGTGACATTTATTTACACAAATACTCCCTTCGTCCTAGGTAATTTGTGTGTTACTGTAGATACGATAGTTTAAATAAAGTATAATTAGTAAGTAATTAAAAAATATATTATTAAAAATAATTGTTATATAATAAAAATAATTATAAATTAAGATTAAAATAACTAAATTTAAAATTATAAAATTTAAAAATAAAAAATTATAAAATTATAAAAATTAATAATTAAAATGTAATTAAAGTGTATAATTATAGGCAAGAGATCCTAGATTTAAAATTTACCCAGTTTAATTAGTTTAATGTTCTGACTTTTTAATATTTTTTTAAAATAAAAAACAATTAATTTAACTAAAATTACAATTTTACCCTCCAATCTTTTATTTTTCTTTTTATTCGTAAACACTTCTATCTAAATTTCTCTCCTGTAATATCATGACCCTCTAACCCTAATTTTCTCGACGGTCACCCAAATTTCATCATAATTCTCAAATTAAACTTCTCAAACTTGCATTTATTTTCTATTTCTTTCTCTTCTTCACAACTCTCTCTTATTCTCTTCCCCTTCATTGATCATCGATTCACCCCCGACGACGCCCTGCGCAGCTGCCTAAGCCACCGCCCGCCATTCAACCTTTTTCCTACTCGTCGTCGACCGCGACACCAGCCATTGGGGTCTCCTCCACCGAAGCGGCCGTCATCTCTCCTCCCCCTCTTCTTCTTCTCTACACTTGAGTATTTTTCTCACCAAAAGATTAGAGCTGAAAGAGAAAAAGTAAATTGGGTGGGAGTGTTTAATAGGAACGGAATGAAATAAATAAAATATTTGATAGATAAATTATAATTTTAGTTAAGTTAATTATTTTTTTTATTTTAAAAAAATATTAAAAAGTCATAACATATGTTATAAAATAATTGGTTAAACTGATTAAATTTAAACCGATGATCCCTGCCCAAGGTAGGCCTAGCCGGGTTCTATATCGGCCTGAAAGTTTAAATCCGGGCAAAAGCACAGCTGATTCAAACTGTGTCCGACCAGGCTAATTTGATTTTTAAAATTTTTTATCTTAAAATTTATTTTACATATTTTTATTAAAAAATAAATTATAATATTATTAAATAAATACAATTATGATAAATAAATAAATAACTGATTATTAATTTTTTTAATATTGAAATTTTTTTATTTTATTACTCCAAATATCATTATTTATTTTTTGATCGTCCCCTAAATTTATGCCTAACTTATTTATAATAAATAATTTTATATATCCATAATTTTATTATACTATAGTTCAAACAAATAATAATTAACTTGTCATTATTTTTCCTACTTATTAATTATTTAATAAATTTTGTATAATAATAATATTTCTATTTTATTTTTTACCTACTTAATTTTAAAATTAAAATATTATTATTTTTAATTTTTTTAATCCAATCAAACTTACATAAATTTTATTAAAAAAATATTGGCAAAAAATTAATTTTGGTTTCAATATAATCAAAATTTATCAATTTTGGTCCAAATGTAAAAAAACTCATCAATTATAGTCTCAAATATAAACAATTTCAATCAATTTTGGTCCTATTATAAATAATTTCAATCAATTTTGGTCTCATCGTTAAAAAACTGACGGGAATTGCTGACGTGACAGTTGACTTGGAAAGTACACGGCAATGTACAATTATACACGACCATGTTGTTACATAGTCATATATATTTCAGTGTATAATTATACATGGTCATGTTGTTACACGACTATGTATAATTATACACGATCATGTTGTTACATGACCATATATCTTTCAATGTATAATTATACATGACTATATTTTTACACGACCATTTATAATTCTACACGGCCGTGTATCTTTCTGTTTCGGTCTGAAATTTTATTTTTTTGCTTATATTTTTTAATTTAGAATAATTGATATAGTTAAAATGGAAAAAAAAAATCAATAATAATCATAATATAATTAAAATGTATCAATTTTAGTTCAAATATAAATATTTATCGTTCTTTTGAAAGATTTTGTCTAAAATTCTACTATTTAACAAAAAAATTTCTCTTACAAGCATCAAATTAATGTAATAAAATAATAAATTAATTTTTAATACTACTATAATATACGAAATTAAAAAATAGTTGTGTAATCGAATATTTGTAAGATGAATTTTTTTTATAAATAATAACATTTTAGACAAAATCTTTCAAAAAAATATACTCGATAAATATTTATATCTGAACTAAAATTGAAATATTTTAATTATATTATGATTATTATTGATTTTTTTAATTTTAAATATATCAATTATTCTAAATTCAAAAAAAAGATTAAAATATAACAAAAATAAAATAAAATTTTAGACCGAAACAGAAAGATACACTGTGTAGAATTATACATGACCGTGTAACAACATGGTCATGTATAATTATACACTGGAATATACATGGTCATGTAACAACATGGCCGTGTAACAACATGATCATGTATAATTATACGTTGAAATATACATGGTCACGTAACAATATGGTCGTGTATAATTGTACATGACCGTGTATTTTCTAGGTCAATTGCCACGTCACATTCATTGTGTCTACATCAGCCATTTTAATTAATTTTATATTTTTTAAAATTGGTTGAAATTGATTGATATTTGGACATAAATTTTTTATATTGAAACCAAAATTGATAAATTTTAATTATATTATAACCAAAATTAATTTTTTTCCAAAAATATTTAATTACGATATAAAAATATTTAAATTAAAAACTTATTCAATAAATCATGTCATACTAAACATGGCCCAATTTGCACAGACCTAAACACGATCTGAATTTTCATCCATGTGGGAATGGCCCGACCAGAAAATTACTGGGGCCTATTTTGAAACTCAAATACATATTTTTCATATATGTCGAATCGCGCCTATTTTTTACCGTTACGAATAAACGACTATTTTTTTACTGGTACGACGAATAAACACACCCCTCTCATGCTCCACATTGTTAGTGGTGGGTTTCTATCCATTGTGGTGGGTGCACCTCAACTCACCCCCACCCATCAACATCTACTTTTATTTTTGCTTGAAAAGCTCCACACACATCATCCTCTTTTCAACAACACACCGTTATCTTTCTTCAATCTAATAACAATGCTTAAATTTCAAGCTATTGAACCTTACAAGCATATGCTTTCCTATTTTCCTATATATATAAAGAATTTGTTTCTTGTGAAGGGTTTTTTTTTTTTTTTTTTTTTTTTTTTTTATATTTAGAAAATCTGTATTTTAATTTAAATATTCATTAATATAATATTTTTTAAAAAAGTATATATTTTTATTGAAAAACAAATACATAAAATAATTTAAAATTAAAAATAAATATATATATATATTGCTACGCAAAATAATTCTAAAGTTGGAAGTAAATAATTCTTTTTTTTTTCACTTTTTATTTAAATAATAGTTGAATATGATATTTCATATATATATATAATTTCATTTCGGACGTTTTTTTTTTGTGAGATTATTGAAAAATAATTTTTTTATATAAATTATAGATAAATGTGTATGAAATATAAAAATAAAAATGTGTATACTGTATTAATTTTTTAAAAAAAAAAAATGAAAGAAAATAATAAAAAGAACAAATCTTCGTATCTTACTTAAACTTTGTTTATTAGAAATTGAGTAAAGAAATGTGGTTGGCAAGAAAAAGTTTGCAAATGATGTGATATGTAACTACACCTATCCTAACTTTTCACAAATGTATCGATTGCTTTATTAGCTACATTGACTTGATCACCCCCAACCCCCCCCCCCCTCCTTCTCTCTCTTTGTTCTTGCAATTCTTCGATCGATCGTCAAAAAAAAAAAACCTCGTACATAGACACATGCCAACGTTGTTTATCCGTAACGCGAGCTTTGATGATGGCCGCGCTCGGGAGCGCAAACTCGTGGTCGCCTTACAACACTTATAGGGATTGCTCCCAAGAAGTTTGTAGCATATATTGTCCCCAATTTTGCTACTTGATATTCCCTCCTCCATCGTCGGGTGACGATATTTCCGACGGCCCCTTTTCGCCACTTATCATTGTAGCCATCAGCGTGCTCGCCAGTGCGCTCCTTTTGGCAACATACTATACTCTGGTCACGAGATTTTGCAGACAAATGATCGAGAATACTGACGTATTCTCTGAGGAGGATGGCGGGGAATTGGGCCCCCCTAGCCACTCGTGCCAGGTGGGCCCGTCCGGATTGGATGAGGGGGTCATTAAGACAATCTTGGTAAGAAAGTACAATAAGAAGTGGACGATCGAGGGGAGTGAATGCGCTGTGTGTCTTAATGAATTTGTTGAAAATGAGTCACTGAGAGTTCTACCGAAGTGTAGTCACGCTTTCCACGTGCCGTGCATTGATATGTGGCTAGCTTCACATTCAGTGTGCCCGTTGTGCCGCGCCAATATCGTTTCCTTACCACATTTGTCTCCTCAGTGTTCTCGACCTCGACAAATGGATTCTACTAATCTCGATGATATTGTCTTAACTGTGTTGGATGATTCAGAAAGTAGGTGTAGTGTAGGTATTACTTTAGGGGGTGATGCATATCGAGAAAACTCAGGGAATGTCGATGATGTAGAAGCTATGAGTGAAGGAGTGAGAAACAACCAAAGAGGCACGGCTTTGTTAAGGCGATCGACCTCTTTGGACACGTTTTCTTATCGTTGGTGTCGGGTTTTAAGTTTGGAAACGATAAATATTGAAGAAAATAATGAGTTGCCGATGAAAAGGTCATTGTCCGAAGGGAGGTTAGTTCTCAAAGATTGAATAAGAAAGGCAAGACATCTATACTCCCTTATTGAATATGAACACATACCTATGCTTCATTGCATTGTAAATTGTCAATATATACACCAAATTGAAATGAATTAAAGATTTGTTTTTTTCTTTTTACGATTTTTGTGAAATAAAGATCATAATTTCAAAGTGGGTATTTGATATTTTGTATATTTTTTTAAAGTGAAACAGATCACCTTTATGATATTTAATTTATTTTATTGTTTTAAAAGTGTTTAAAGTAAAATGAAAATGATTTAAATGTAATTTGTAATTATGCGGATTTATTTTTTCTTTACTTCTTTTAAAATATCTAATACTAATGAAGTTAAATGTGTTAAAATATATTTAAAAGCAATATATTATACTTGTGGCAGTTATCTTAAGAGATTTGTAGGATTTTTGTCTTATTTGAATGATTTGTACGTCATTATAAATATACACGAATTCTTATGATTGAAATAGAAAATTTCAGTTTCATATTCTAATATGGTATCAGAGCCAAATTCTCTCTGTATACCTTCATAACCCGTTGTATACCGTATATATTTTTATATTTTATTAATGTATTTTCTTCTATCCACGACCATATTGTTATTTCATGCCGTCTTCATCTCTACTACTCCACTGACAGAGTTTACTTTTAACTCTAATGCTGTTGAGAATCCTGTTTTTTATTTTAACTCTATTGAGAGCGAGAGAGTCCTGTTTCCGACTCTAGATCTGTTGTGAGCGAGCGAGTCTTATTTCCGACTCTAGCTCTATAGAGTGAGCAAGTCTTGTTTTCGGCTTCCGTTGTGAGCGAGCGAATCATGTTTTCAATTCTAACGATGTTGAGAGTTCTGCTTCTGACTCTAATCAGTGGACGATTACACCACTTTCAATCAATCTTGGCGAATTCAAATTCGTACATGGAAGATCTCGGCTATATCTTTTTCGGTTAATTTTGACAAACTCAAGTTTGTTCGATCGAATCTTGAGTTTGAGGAAGGGTGCTAAAATATATTTAGAAACAATATATTATATTTATGGTAGTTATCTTATTTAAGATATTTGTAGGATTCTTGCTTTATTTGGATGATTTGTATGAATATGTACGAATTCTTATGATTGAAATAGAGAATTTCAGTTTCATATTCTAACAAAATGTAAAATTTATGAAGTCTGAATTTTTCTTCTAATTGTGCAATGCCGGACTTGTTTACAACCCCACACATATATTGTGTAAGCTATTATTATGTATTGTTTATCCATATTATGTATTTGTACTATTTTAATATTTATATTTGAATTAAAATTAATTGTGATATGTGTTGTATAAACTATTATTATTATAGTTATAATTAATATGATATTGATTAATTATAATCACTACCCTAACCATCAAAATATAAAATTGTATTGATTTAAGTCATATAATAGATAGTTGGTACATAACCATAAAATAAGGCTTTGTTTATATTCACTAGAAAAAAAAAATAAAAATTCAGTGCTATTTATTTACAAAATATTATTAAAAAAATATATTAATTAATTTAGTTTTTATAAAATAATTAAATATTTGATTGTATGCTATTTTTAAAAGTTTAAAATTCTAAAAAAAAAAAAAAAAAACCATTCTTAAATGCAACCTAAATATTTACAAAGAATTACAGGCATGAAAATGTAGTCCAATAATTTTGGATGCTAAATGTAATGGTCCAATTATAAAGAATACGTGAGAAATGAGAAAATGCAACAATTTGAGTTTCTAGCTTTTGAGAATGTTGTCATAATACAATTTACAATGAATATTATGATTGTAAAGAATGAGACGGTGGCTTGGGGTTGGACTTGCAACATGTATAATATGTTTTATGTATTTATAAAATTTAATAAATTAAAGGTAAATTACTTTTTAGTCTCGTAACTGACCTTCTTATTATTTTAGTCCCGTGAGTGGAGTCTGTTGCAAACTAGTTTTATAAGTGGAATTTTTCCGTTGTTTTAGTCATCCGGCGCCAGAGACGCCCGCATGGTTCGCTGGAAGCCACGTGTCCGCCAGATCAGCGACACCCGGTAGACAAATGGATTTTATTTTTATTTTTTCATTTTTTTAATATATATTTTTTTTCAATTGAATCGAATAAAAAAATTAAAAAAGATAAATAAAATTAAAAATAAATTTTTAAATTTTTTTTTAAAAAAAATAAAAAATAGAATCCACGACCTGGCGGACACGTGACCTCCGGCGAGCCACGCGGGCGTCTTCGGCGCCGAAAGACTAAAACAACGAAATTTTTTCATTAATGAGACTAGTTTGCCACATAGTGGAGACTAAAATGATAAGTGTCAGTTAAGATTAAAAAACCATTTACCCATCAATGAATATAAAATACTATTATTTTTATATTACCTGTATATTTTTTTATGCATAATATAAAAAATACATACATAAAAAATGAAAAAAATCAATTTTGGTCCCAATATAACAAAAATTCATTAATTTTGGTCCCAATATAAAAAACTCATCAATTTTGGTCCAAATATAACCAAAATTTATCAATTTTGGTATCAATATAAAAAATTCATCAATTTTGGTCCAAATATAAATTATTTCAATCACTTTTAATCCCATTATTTAAAAATAAATCTAAATTGATGACGTGAATTTAACGGAAGTGCTGACTTGGACAAAACTCAGCGTGTACTTTAAAACACGCCCGTGTTAACAAGCTGAATCAAAATACACGGCCATGTTCGTTATTCACGGCCGTGTATATGATTTTTTTTCCTTTTTAATCCAAGCAGCAGTCGCAGCCATGGCTGCAGTAGAAGCCTCTTCATCCTTCTTCGGCTTGAAGAACAACCGTCCGCCGGATGACACCGTTTTCTACTCCATCTACCCGGACTCGTCGGTCGGCGCCGCTGGGCGGCTGCGGTGGCTGATGAACTCCAGTCGCTCCACCTCCGAATGCTAAACCATATTTCTCCGATTGTTTCTCCATACATATGGCAGCACCAATCATTCACTCTCTCTATAGCTTCCGCGCCAATTCCGCATCTCTACGGTCACCTCCGTTTCGGAGACAATTCGGAAGACGAGTGGGTCGTTGTCTACATTCTCTTCGAAATCTCGAAGACGTTTCCCGATCTCTCGGTTCGTGTTTGGGACTCCGACGGCGAGTTTCTCCTGATCGAAACTGCGTATCACCTCCCCAAGTGGCTCAAACCAGAGACATCCGATAATCGCGTCTTCATATAAAAAAATTCAAGTAGGGTAAAAATTCACGGCCAACGCGGTGGTGGAAGCAACGGCTGCGGGTGACGGAGAAGAGAGATTGCAAGTGAGGGAGGCGGTTCTGGGTGTGAGCAAAGGCGATGGGTGGTGATTTGCGGCGGCCTTGGGTGGAGGAAAGAACGAGAAAGCCGGCGCTGGTGGCCGGAGTTGTGGCAGTTGGGCTCTGGCTGGATGCAGGTCGGTGAACAACGATGTCTGGGCGGTGGCTGATGGTGGCGGGCGGGCAGTGATGATATACACGGCCGTGAATAACGGAACATGGCCGTGTATTTTGATTCAGCTTGTTAACACGAGCTTGTTTTAATGTACACTGCTGTGTTTTGTCCAAGTCAGCACTTCTGTTAAATCAACGTGTTACGTACGAAATTTAGAATTAGGTTAAAAGCCCAAGGTAAAAAGAAGAATGGGCCTGGCAATAGAGTTGATTGAACTGACTGAAGGGCACCATGAGGAAATCAAGGAAAATAGGTTTATTACTAAGGAAGGTCCTCAGGTCGGAAGGTCTTCAGGTCGGTAGGTCCTCAAGTCGGAAGGTTTTCAGGTCGGGAAGTCCTCAAGGCGGAAAGACCTCAAGTCGGAAGGTTTTCAGGTCGGGAGGTCCTCAAGATGGAAAGACCTCAAGTCGGAAGGTTTTCAGGTCGGGAAGTCCTCAAGGCGGAAAGACCTCAAGTCGGAAGGTTTTCAGGTTGGGAGGTCCTCAAGACGGAAAGACCTCAAGTCGGAAGGTTTTCAGGTCGGGAAGTCCTCAAGGCGGAAAGACCTCAAGTCGGAAGGTTTTCAGGTCGGGAGGTCCTCAAGACGGAAAGACCTCAAGTCGGAAGGTTTTCAGGTCGGGAAGTCCTCAAGGCGGAAAGACCTCAAGTCGGAAGGTTTTCAGGTCGGGAGGTCCTCAAGACGGAAAGACCTCAAGTCGGAAGGTTTTCAGGTCGGGAAGTCCTCAAGGCGGAAAGACCTCAAGCCAGATGGTTCGCAAGTCGGGAGGATTGGCAGTCGGACCCATACTATTGTAGATTGGCAGTCGGGCCAAAAGAGCGGAAGGTCTGTGGTCGGCTCAAAGAGTGAAATATAGGGATAATTTTGGTCTGCTGGGGACGCGTGTCAGCATGAGAAGGGTTGGAAGACGGTTGGGAAGGAGACGTTGTAACCGTTCGGGTGACGGTTTTCGGTACGGTTTCCCAGAGAATATTTAAAGGCTTGGATAATCATTTGGCAAGGTATCTTCAATCAACTTCAACAAAGCAAAGTCAGATTTGGGGATCACCACTTTAAATTTCAGTCTTTTATTTTCCAGTTTATTTTCTGTACCATACAGTGTTTAGAGATTCCTAATCTCAGGCACTAATTAATCAAGTTTAAGGATATTTTCTATATCTTTGAATTTTACTTTATTTTTGTTGAAAAATTACATCAACAAATTGGCGACCACAGTGGGAGCAAGACAAAATTGCTCATTCCAATTCCGGCGATAATTTCATACGTCTTAGATCCGGCCGAATCATCGGAAGGGTCCATATGGCAGGTTCACAACCACAATCATCTTCGGCACCGGTGGGAGAATCCGTTCCACCACCTATTGTGCCAAATGCCGGGGAAATCCCACAACCACCAACTGATTGGTGGTCTTATGTTCAACAAATGAACAACCAGCATACTTTGGTTATGCAGAATATGTTGCGTGAGCAACAAACGAACATGTTGCGTGAGCAACAGAGTCTGATGCAGAACATGATAGATCAAGCATTGTCAAGGGTTAGTCTTCAACCCACTCAAACGCCACCAGGAGTGTCAC